ATAAACGCAAAGGTTATTTGAGACCGGTGTGTATACAATGATATCAATGCTTAAAATTGCCTAAATTATTCACGGAAGGGTTTTAAATTGGCTTTATTATGACATGGTCTCTTGCACAATTTTGATTTATTTTGGGCTTAATAAAATTATATTTAAAGTCAGATTACTGCTAAAAGGTAATTAAAACGAATCATGTTACGCTTTTGCTATGTTATCACAATGTTAAATCTTCAACAACAATACTCAAGGACAACATATGATAGTTTAAGCGCGATAGAGTAAACTAAAGTAAAATCATCACCCATTAGAAGCTCTACTCCGCCTCTTTAAGGGCTCTTGCCCCTATTAAATCATATCTTCTCGCCCATATGGTCTCTTTCCGGGGGCGAGGGTTAACAAACCCAAGCACACACAAAAATCGCATCAGTTTTATTTTACAGGCCCATTATGCACAAGAAATGCTTTTAGTTTTATTTCTCAGATTTTTTTTTCTGTAAAAGTTACTCGTTGACTAATTATCTGAACCAACTTTTTCTTCTGTTGCTGTTGGCAATTAGAAGAGTTTAAGAGATTTAGTATTATAATTATATGGAAGTCAAAATACTACTTTATTTACATTTTGCTGCTTATATGACAAGTTATTTTATATTCAGCGCTACTTTCTTTAGGTAACAATCATTTTATAGTTTCTAAAACCATTATCTAAACGTTATAAAGTTCATGTTTTTGCCCTTTCTAAAGAAATAAAAAAAATTTTTTTAATTGATTCGTTAAGGAGGCATAATGTTCGATACATGATACATGTTTATTCATTTAATGTTCGTGAAGATTGAAGAACCGGAAATATCTCGCGAAATTCCGAATTATTTTCGCTCTTATCCATTACAGTACATGGTCATAATATATCGGAACATATCGGCATTTTCCGTCAGTAAACGTCGAAAAGAAAATAAATACAAGGCACAACATTTGAAATAACATATTTGTTTACTTGATTTTTAATAATCAAAAATAAAATTAATTAACACAACATGACATAAACTACATGTATTATAATAACAGCTCCTACCATGTGCCACAAAAAAAAAAACATTCCATTAGAGACGACGCCGTTCATCGTCGTCGCCAATAAAAAAAATCAATTTTACGTAAAACTTGAGGATTGAAAACCAAGAATATCAAATACACTCCTCACAAACCATGATGTCTGTTTATATGGATTTTATGACAAGAATAACCATAAAAGTCTGTGTTTTTGTCTGTAATTGCCTCGTAACTTAAACCGTATTTATTAATTACTTGTAACTATACATCATGGATACGTAGCTAATTTAGTTTCATGTTTTCTATACAAGCAGATCAAATATTCTTTGAATATTGAGTAGTATAAAACCGAGACAAATAAACCCTTCCAGAGACGATCACGATTTGTCAATTCTGTGTGATATATTTAGATTGGCAGACGATAAAATATTCTTAACGCCGCATAAAAACCCCACTTTCAAGAATCGTATGGTCACGCAGGTGCAAAATCTAGTACAGCGAAAGATCAATGACGAGAAATATCTGTCTATAATCTAGAACAAAATGTGACTTAATTGCCCGTATATCAAAATATACTTATAAGACTAAGCGCTTATAAGGACTAAGTTAAAAATGCAGATGAAAAATTACTAAAAATTAAAAAGGATGGGTAAGGCATAAGGATGGGGCTTTAAAGACATAAGAAAATGTGTTATCACCAAAATGTCAATAAAAGTAAATATCATTTTGCTTACAGGACTCGAACTTGCGCATGCAAATATTACAGTTAAAATGCTAGATAGGAAACTGACTTTGCTAAGTTTGCGCGGGGAATAGTAATTCATCTCTGATTAAATATTATATGAATTAAATTCTAAATATCAGATGAACAATACAGAATAGGCACCAAAAATGATCAACATGTACGTTATTTACCAGACAGATGTATAACGACAAGACACATGTATAACCATCAGACATATATATGACCACCAGACACATGTATGACCACCAGACACATGTATGACCACCAGACACATATATGACCACCAGACACATGTATGACCACCAGACACATGTATAACCATCAGACACATGTATGACCACCAGACACATGTATGACCACCAGACACATGTATGACCACCAGACACATGTATGACCACAATGCACATGTATGACCACCAGATACATGTATGACCACCAGACACATGTATGACCACCAGACACATGTATGACCACCAGACACATGTATGACCACCAGACACATGTATAACCACCAGACACATGACACATGTATGACCACCAGACACATGTATGACCACCAGACACATGTATGACCACCAGACACATGTATGACCACCAGACACATGTATGATCCCCGGACACATGTATGACCACCAGACACATGTATGACCACCAGACACATGCATAACCACCAGACACATGTATAACCACCAGACACATGTATAACCATCAGACACATGTATGACCACCAGACACATGTATGACCACCAGACACATGTATTATCACCAGACACATGTATGACCACCAGACACATGTATAACCATCAGACACATGTATGACAACCAGACACATGTATGACCACCAGACACATGTATGACCACCAGACACATGTATGACCACCAGACACATGTATGACCACCAGACACATGTATGACCACCAGACACATGCATGACCACAAGGCACATGTATGACCACAAGGCACATGTATGACCACCAGACACATGTATGATCCCCAGACACATGTATGACCACCAGACACATGTATGGCCACAATGCATATGTATGACCACCAGATACATGTATGGCCACCAGACACATGCATGGCCACAAGGTACATATATGACCACAAGGTACATATATGACCACAAGGCACATGTATGACCACAAGGCACATGTATGACTACAAGGCACATGTATGGCCACAAGGTACATGCATGGCCACCAGACACAAGCATGGCCAAAAGGCGTATGTATGGCCATAAGGCACATGTATGACCACCAGACACATGTATGACCACCAGACACATGTATGATCACCAGGCACATATATGACCACCAGACACATGCATGACCACAAGGCACATGTATGACCACAAGGCACATGTATGACCACAAGGCACATGTATGACCACCAGACACATGAATGACCACCAGACACATGTATGAACACCAGGCACATATATGACCACTAGACACATGCATGACCACAAGGCACATGTATGACCACAAGGCACATGTATGACCACAAGACACATGTATGACCACCAGACACATGTATGATCACCAGACACATATATGACCACCAGACACATGTATGGCCACAAGGCAGCACATGTATGACCACCAGACACATGTATGACCACAAGACACATGTATGACCACCAGACACATGTATGGCCACAAGGTACATATATGACCACAAGGCACATGTATGACCACCAGACACATGTATGAACACCAGACACATATATGACCACCAGACACATGCATGACCACAAGGCACATGTATGGCCACAAGGCACATGTATGACCACCAGACACATGTATGACCACCAGACACATGTATGATCACCAGACACATGTATGACCACCAGACACATGTATGGCCACAAGGCACAGTTATGACCACCAGACACATGTATGACCACCAGACACATGTATGATCACCAGACACATGTATGTCTACAAGACACATGTATAACCACCAGACACATGTATGGCCACCAGACACATGCATGGCCACAAGGTACATATATGACCACAAGGTACATATATGACCACAAGGCACATGTATGACCACAAGGCACATGTATGACTACAAGGCACATGTATGGCCACAAGGTACATGCATGACCACCAGACACAAGCATGGCCAAAAGGCGCATGTATGGCCATAAGGCACATGCGTGACCACCAGACACATGTATGATCACCAGACACATGTATGTCTACAAGACACATGTATAACCACCAGACACAATCATGTATGACAACCAGACCTTATCATACATCGACTAAATTTACAATGTGTTTAGCCTGCCAGGAAGTAATCTATTTTTAGCCTTTGCGCCAGTATAGAGCTCGACCAACCTGCACATTCGAACAATCAGAAGGCTCTATACTGGTGATAGCTAAATGCTTTAAATGTTTCAGTTTCGATAATGAAATCCTTTTAACTTCGAATGGACTGTTCCATGTTGAAAGCAGGGCAAACCAACTACTCAAGTTTAAGATATATATATATATAATGGTTATTCTGTGTTTTGTTGTTTTATTTTTTTTCTTATTTTGATATTAAGGTGGCGGGTTTTAATATTTTTCATTAAAATTTAACATTGCGAAACCAGTTGTTGCAACTTATATTAATCACTTTCGAGTCCGCTTCGATCGAATGGGGCTCGAACCCATGATCCTTGGGTGGAGAAACATACACCTTAACCACTACCGCTTCCCTAAGGCTTAAACCGTCAGAGAAATAAAATAAGATGAAACGATATGACAAAGTAAAAACGAAAATTATTTTTTAAAAAAAAAACAAAAACAAAAAAAAAAACACTTGAATCTGACAAATTTTCGTTTTTACTTTTAAAATTTGATAAGACAAATTATTTTTGACATTGCTAATTGTTAGTAAAATTTTAAAGGGTTGTTTTAAATCATCATAACTCGTGTGGTTTATAAAATGTTTAGTTGACGTTCACGACTGAACCACATCCCACATAAGTCTGTTCTGTGCGGTTTCCAAGAAACAATTAGTTAAGAAATAAACGATATTTGACGCCCACATATTTATCAAATATTTCAACCTCCTATTATCTCATTTTTAGTAAACATCGAAACAAAATGCATAAGTCATTGTTTGGCAATATTGACCTGAGACTCGTATATTTTCGAGAAGTTTAAACGCGTAAGAATTTATGAAAATGGTAAAAAAATAAAACAGACGGAAGAATATTTTAAATCTTTACTAACGGAAGGAAACAAATGTAGGGAATATTAAAACACTTACGAAATAATGCATATGCAGTTTACAAACGGAAGTTTTAAAAACAACTTTACAAACGGGATTATATTTATAGAAATTACAAACGAAAGAATTAAAAACTTTAATATTTCTTCAAGCTGAACTATAAATTCTTAAATTGTGTACACAACAGACAATATAAAAGCAAGTAAATCTAGATTAACATACACAATAAAACAACAAAAACAGAATACTGAAGAGGTTGTCAAAATATGTGAAAAAGTATGATATATATTATAGCAAAAAGGATGCCATTTCGCAAGTGATTGTGAAGACAATATACATGCGAATTGATAGGACTTATTTTCCAAAAATGAATCCGTATCAATTTGCAAACGAAATCACGTGGGCTATTAAATACATATATAAACGAACCCTATTAGATATAATTCATTTAAAAGATATACAAGCTTTTCATTTAAATGTCAAAAAAGACTTTTCGAGGGGGGGGGGGGGGGGGGTCTGCTTTCCAATATGAATTCATAATGCAACAAGTCTACACAACATAAGATAAATATAGAATGTATTTGCTGTTCGTCGAGTTGTATTAAAACAACACTCCAAACTGAATTTCAACACAAACAAAATAAAAAAGCAAAATAAGACATTTAAAAACCAAACCACAAATCAAAAGTCAAAATTCCTACCCCCCCCCCCCCCCGTTGATTAAATTATCTAAGCACATTGACAATTATGGTGAAGAGTCTCGTCTCACATTGTATACCGTAACAAAGTTATGTGCTTTACGAGAAATATAAAGTACCTTTGACATAGAATGATAATGTACTGATTGAATGGCGTTCATCTCTAATACCTTTTTAATACGATTTCCATGCTCATCCGAATGGATAGCGAGTAGCATATCCGGCGCTGTGCAAACGTAGAATTTTTTCCCATTTCCAAACGAAACCCCATATGGAACGCCATCATTGCCTAACTTTAGCATAGACAATATTTTGCCATGCCTGTTGATGGACGCCACACAATTTCTAGACGAATCAGATACCAAGATTTCTACATTTTTCTGGTCAGTATTTAAATCTATGTATCTTGCACATCTAAAAATATTTCTTGGAAATGAAAGCGGAAATGTAAACAATCTCTTCTTCACTGATTCTGAACATATTTTCTGTGATAACTTTCCTTCGTATGTTATGATGCGGATCTCGTTCTCCATAGCAACGTAAATGTCTTTGTTATAATACGATATCCCGTAACAATTTTTGTCAAGACTTATTGTCCTAGTTATCGTCAAATAATCGTAAGTAAGCATGATATGAATGTTCTTTGAAGACGGACAGCTTACGGCTACTTCGTATTGTTCGATGGCTGTAACATCCCAAGGCTCGGTTTCAAGCTGTATATAAGTTTCAAAAACTCCGTTACTGTCAAACATTTTTACATTTTCGTTTGCCTCATCTGCTAAAACTACCTTTCCGTCTGGTAAAACGCACATTCCGGTGATAGAGCAACATTTCTGGTCACATTGAGTGCGAACATAGAACCTATTCTTCTGCTCTAAATGAGATTTGGAAACATTTTCATCAATTGAAACGGAAATGATTTCTTCATCTTCTTCTATAATATCGTTCAAACTAGTCATCGAATGGGTCTTTGGTTCGATAGCAATTCCGTCAACAACTGTAGAAGAAGTCTCCGCATTTCTGAGTTTCTCATGGCAGGAATATGGCTCCTGACTTTGAGGAATGTCCATGTCGTCTGCTTCGTCTTTCTTTTCATTTCCTTTGATATGCAGTCTGGTTAACGACTTTCGGGTATGTATGACTGGTCTTTCGTTCACAGCTTCTTTATTGACGATCTCATCATGATGAAAATATTTTCCTGACTCATCATTCGCATTTTCTCGGCTCCCTACAACTTTAGGAAACGTTTCATTGGTTCCAACAATCGAGCGTGCAAGCGCAAAGTCACTTGTAAGAACATTAGGGTCAATTGATTTTGGAACGGTTTGGTCACCTTCGTCAAAACTTTTACTCAGTCGTATAATTGATCTGTGTATTTTACGGCTATGTGAGGAATCATCTTTGCTTTTATAGTTATGTTTTGGCATCTTCCCTTCATCTCCCGCGTATCCAAGAAAGTTAATTTGTTCGCATTTCCGGTGCAGAAGTGCTGCGCATACACTACAAAATGAGTCACAGTGATCCAAACATTGAAATTCAATTACCCGGTCCGGATGGCTTACACATTTTGTTTCTACCATACTCCCCGTCCCAGCATTCTGTTCTGCTTGTTTGGCGGTCCTTAAAGATTTATGCTTGGCTTTCATTTCGTTTACTAGTCCATTCAAAGCAAAGTTTAATGGAAAATTATACGCCCAGGAGCATGTAAGCATTCCTTTGAGTGGAGGCTTAATAAAGGTTTTGCATACCGGGCAGATAAGCCCTTTTTTATCTCCAGTTTTACAATCACTTGTGATGTATGAATTGAGACATTCAGCACAGAACGTGTGCATGCACGGTAAAGCACGTGGATTGAACAATAAATCCAAACAAATAGGGCACGTCACGTGATCAACGTATGACCTTCTTTGGTCAGCCATTCTATCTCACCTTCTAGTAGTTACACTTAAATCTTAAATGGGTATACAAAATATGTGAATTAAAAACGGTTTTCCTTAAAGTAATTTACATGGCAAAATTTCCTTCAAATTTTCATTTTCCTAATTACACTTTTTTTCAAGACTTTAAAACCACATGCCTTGCACAATTTATACAATAACTCAATTTATCCTTTTCTTTATTTCATTTTTATACTTTACTATCCCTGAAATATTTAGAAACGTCGTTTTCTAGTATAAAATATTTCCCTGTCTACACTAAAATACAGAATGAAACAGCCTAGTAAACATTTTACCCTTCAGTAGTCATGACTTCTTTTCGCAAACTAGTATTCTCATGAAATGATCCGTGTCAGTTGTATCTATTTGTAAAGCCAAGAATGCTACTCCCTGTTAAGTTCTCCCAAGATAGAAACTGCGTTCAATATATAACGTTTCAGCTGTGACCAAGCCCCAGTAGTTGTCTAAGACACGCGCGTTCAATATCATGTATTTATCGCGGCCTTTGATTGTATTGAGAAAAAGAGATTTTAATAGTACTTTTATAAATGAAGGACTGGTTAAGTTTGGCGTATCATATATTGCCATGGTTATATTGTTATACGATGTAGTGTTTACCGATAAATATTCTCGTATCCACCTATGATATTTCACCGATATTGTAAATTCTAATGGCAACAGATTTATCTAAAAAATCTACTTAGAGAGTTTTTCTTTGTAAGATCTAAAATGGCTGAATTAAATGTTATTAAAAACATTTATCAAAATTCTGTTCTTATACTTTTTAAGTGATATTAAATTAAATAGATTGCATAACTGAAAATCATAATCCTGTTTAGAAGTACTTTAATAGAATCGCTCTAAGTTGTATTTCTAAGTTGCGAATCTGTGTTAAAAGGAATATATTGAAGTAAATTAAAATGTTGAGGTAGCAAATTACCTTAAATAATCAATAAAGAAAATAATATAATTATAGCATTTAATCAAATCAGGTTTAGAAGATAAGCAAAGTAATTTTCTTAATAGTACGTCTAAAATAGACATAAAGTAATCTAAAATTAATGTCAGTTGTATAAAAATATTTTTCTTTTCAATTCAGTATGTTAAAACATGTAAAAAAATTTTCTTCCATCTATCTTATGTAAGGCTTTCTACCATGTTAGGATTTCCTTTAAATGCATCTAATGTTAGGCGTTCTACGTAAGGATTTCTTCCATATATATTTTAGGCTTTCTACCATGTATTCAATGTAAGGGTTTCTTTCATGTATCTTATGTAAGGTTTTCTTCCATGAATATAATGTTTAGCTTTCTTCCATGTATCTAATGCTAGGCTTTCTACCATGTATATAATGTTAGGCTTTCTACCATGTATATAATGTAAGGTTTTCTTCCATGTATCTAATACATGGCTTTCTACTATGTACCCAATATAACATTTGCTTCCTTGTATCTTAACTATCGCTTTTTTATTATTTTTCAATTCTAGGTTTTCTTCCACGTATCCAATGTTAGACTTTCTTTAATATACCGTATCCGCTGCTAGAATTTCTTCAATGTATCTAATGTTTGATTTTATACCGTGCATCCAATGTTAGGCTTTCTTCCATGTATCTTAAAGGCACATTGTGACTCAGAAATAAAATTTTCACATATTTGGAGGGGAAGAACATGAGTTTTGGAAGATTTTAATTGCTAATGACCTGGAGAAAGAAGCGCTTAATGTGAAATCATTTGTCATAAAAGTAGTAAAATGTAAACAAATAGTATCTTGACTTCCATACAAAATACTTAAATCACAATAACTGTACTAATTACCAATATGCAAAAGAAGCAATAGATGGTTGAACAGGTAATATAATTGGACACTGAGTAACTTTCTGAAAACTATAACAGGGTACCAAATATAGAAAGTTTTTGAGTTATAAAAGCCTTTCTGGGGCATGATGTGCTTTTAAGCCGTTTTGTTATAATGTAAGTAAACATGTATAATGTAAAAAGTACTTATTTTGTAACAGTCAAACGATGTTAGAATGTTTATTGGCACATTAATTATGGTTAAATTTCTGGGTACCCGTCCCGGATTTCACGTCCTCACTAATCCATATGAAATGTGAGAACTTGGGGAAATATTTGCACATAAAGCAACCCATAAATGTAATACAATAAGGAAGATGTATTGTTTGCGACACGAATGGCTGTTCGCTTTGACAATTTGATGCCTCGAAAAAAAAATTAAGTATGGTATCTTATTGCGGCTAGAATGTGTAACTGCGTACAACACGGAAGTTATTTACTATACCAATCATTTGAGCCGCGTCACGACAAAACCAACATAATGGGTTTGCGACCAGCATGGATCCAGACCAGCCTGCGCATCCGCGCAGTCTGATCAGGATCCATGCTGTTCGCAATCAGTTTCTCTACTTGTAATAGGGTTTGTAAGCGAACAGCATGGATCCTGATCAGACTGCGCGGATGCGCAGGCTGGTCTGGATCTATGCTGGTCGCAAACCCATTATGTTGGTTTTGTCGTGACGCGGCTCATTTTTCCTTTTTAATGGAATTTTAATGGTCTTACGTGGAAGAAAGTGATGAGATTGTTATCGTTGTCGTTTTAGGAATGTCTGTTTTTTGAACGTTGTTGTTGTTGTTTTCTTGTTAAATGATAATGTCTATTGTCTTCAAGTGCCACAGCATTTTAAATTGAATAATATTTGTGATGTTCCTTTCTTGGGATGGGGAGGTTGAGGTTAAGTATTGTCGATGGAGTAAAGCTGTCAATGTCCCCAATACAACTTTCTATTTGTATTATAAATATTGATATTTTGAGTTGTATGATTTACATAGATATTTGTATGATAAACATTGATATTTGTATGGATAACATTGAAATTTGTAACATTGACAAACAATGGCAGGTGTATTATTGACATTAATAGGTGTATAATCAACATTGATATTTGCCTGTTTAACATTGATATGTGCCTGTTTAACATTGATATTTGCCTGTTTAACACTGATATTTGTATGATTAATATTGAAAATACCATTTTATGCTATATCATATTTTCAGACATTGATATCAATTTGATAACATCAATAATTAGCCATTCTGAATACTAGTAATAACAACACAATATTAACTTTCCTCTGTTTATAAACTCTGTGTCGGTTTTCCGCTGCCGAGGAATATTCTATCTTTTCAAATAAATTGATATTTTTCGTGTTTTTTGCGATTGTCATTAGTATTCTTTGAATAAGAAAGGATTCAAAACGTTAATATTCAAAGAAATAATTGCAATACGGTTTCTAGGCAACGGATTTATTACGCTACTGATATTTTCAAAACGCATATGTGATCAGAATCCACGATTGCTTCAATATTTTACTTGAAAACGAATTAAGGATACTGTCTCATTGAATGAAGTGTTTTCTCCTATTTCTTAGGTATTGATTTCAATCTATTTTGTAGAATTACGCCATTTGTGGCAGAGTTAATATTGCCTTTTGTTTCAAAGGCGTGGGTTTCGAAATTGACAATTCAGCTAGTATTGTAAAACATTGTATAAAAATGTACATTTTTTTTTCTATATATGTGTATTTATCAATACTTAACGTTTCAAAGTTGATGTTCATACCCTTGGAGCGCAGTATTGCACCACCCCCGGGACTATCACTGCTCAATGCACTACCCCCCGGACAGTGCTCAATGTACAACCCTCGGGACAATGTTGACTGAACAATGCCAAGAACCAGCCATAAAAACGGGACACCAGATCATTAAGTAAGAAACAAATATACATGAAACAAAAACTGTGTTTTTTCTCTTTTTTTCTCTCTTTTTTGCGCGCGCAAATAGGGATGCAAATTGTTTCTATAAAGTACATTACAGTAACGGGAAGAAAAAGAATAATAACCTCTTTTTTTGCTGCAAAAAGAAGCAGTTAAATAATGATAAGGGTTGTCATAACATCTCAGAATGGAATTTATCATAACTTAAAATGATTTTAGTAGATACAAATATCGCGTACTGACAACTTTTCAACCATTTCCGTCAATTTTCAGAGAAAAAAAAGGTAAATGAATTAATCGGCGATGTGTTCCGGAAAACTTCCGGAATAATTATGACTTATCGGTTAGGTGTTCCGATTTTATTCTGAATACATGTTAACGTTTATCTGACCTTTATGAAGATCAAGTTCTATATAAGGAAACAAAATAAAACGTTCGGACTATCACGACCATCGATTCCCCTGGGAAATTTTGAGATCCAAGATTTAATCATCGTCCTAGCTAATGGGTCATATAATGTTTCATATTCTCTAAAACTGACATCTTTATGGACATGATTGGGTTTCTCTCTTCAGTTAAGCATGCTTGGATAAAAAAAATCCCACTCACGAGAGAAAAATGCGTGCTTATTTTCTAATTATTGAAAAGGTGCATTCGTTTTAATTTCTGGGAATGAAAACGGAAGAAATATATATACTGACTTTTTAAATTTCTAATGACCTGTTGATTTTTGTTACACATAATGATGATGATTATGATAATGATGATCGATATTGCTGCTGCTGCTGGTTTTGTTGTTGTTATTGTTGTTGTTGTTGTTGTTGTTGATGATGATGATGATGACGACGACGATGTTGTTGTTGTTGTTGTTGTTGTTGTTGTTGTTGATGATGATGATGATGACGACGACGACGATGATGATGATGATGATGTGAACAAAATATACAAAATTAAGATCGATAGCATTAACATGTTTTGTAGGTCACTGTGAAGTTCGGCATACTGCATGTTTTTCACGTGAGCATTTATAATCATTAATTAATTTATTTGATAAAAAAAAAAAAAATAAATAAACTCGCATGATAATAACCATTGACGTTTAATTCGTTAACTTTATCTGATTAAGATTTTATCATTAATTTAATTAACAGATCTAAATTAACATTATTTTAAAGAGCAATATAACTTCTTTCTAAAACATGAAGCTATATATTTGTAATTAAAGTCTCTACTAAAAAGTTTCTAAAACTAGAATATAAAATTGAATATATCTAGTTAGAGCTAAATAAGAATGAACTAAAGCCTACACATATGTCTACGAGGGATTTGAAATTACTGAAAGTTAGATGGACTAGATATCTATTTCTTTTTCATATACCACCTGTCACACACCGACGCAATGAGGACTCAAGAGTCTTTCTGGGCATACTAACATAAATCAACACACAGAAGGCGCTGAATTTGTTTGGGTCTCAGAATGTCAGAAAGGTGAAGGTTGTGAGATTATAAACCAATTTGTTTTTGTATAGTGCCACCAATTAATGCTTTCCAGTGTTTTAACTGTAGTAAATTGGCTAAAAGACTAATTGCAACACTGATATTCAATTCAGTGTTGATTTGACTTAAACAATTTAAATAAAAATTGACTTGCCTTATCTGGGATTTGAACTCCAGACATCTCACTTCCTAAGCAAGCTAGCAAACCCTTAGGCCACGGTAAAGTTATATGTTACCGGCCTGAAGAAAACCATATCATTCTTAATTAGGGTTTGTAACACTTATTTTTTCGACGCTAAACCTGTTGTTTAACATAGATGTAAATAATCATGGAGATTACTATAAGCATGTATATCTATAAAGAATAAAACAATATTAGAAATATTCGACCATTCGGGAACTATTTTGCTTGAAATTTAATGCGCCTGTCATTTGACAATCTTTACGCAGTGATCTTCCCTGAATTTTTCGGCGTTAGTGTACATATAAAGGGAAGTATATAACCGCTTCAAAAAAGCTTGCAATTAACAGCATCAGGGTCTGAAATTTCGCTACCATTATTTGTTTGGTCTGAAGACCCAAAGAAATAAAAACGAATAGAACTTATATTAAATCGTACGTTCTAGGGATGTAAATATCATTCGCTGGTTTTGCTTTTCATATGGAGAGATCAGTATATGTAATATATGTTAATCCATACCAACTGATATCTTATATCTTAAATTTCAATTTATTTTAATAGATTCATCTAATCACGGATTTATATTACAATATTGTAAATAAGATCCGTGCTCTAATATAGGATTTATTGCCTTCGCTTGTCGAAATAAATTTATTTTCAAACAAATTTATTTCAATAAATTTAGATCTACAGATAATAACATACTGCAGTAAGGTAAATTTCATACTTTATGCATGCGTATTAAGCATATGTAATCAACTGTAATATCCACTGTGGAATTCTATACAGTAAATCATTTAAATATATAGAGGATATTTGTTTAGTTCAGTGTAAGATCGGAATATATTTCACCGAGTGAGCACCAAAAGGTATATTTCACGAGTGGCGCAGCCACGAGTGAAATATGAACTTTTGGTGTTCACAAGGTGAAATACAGTTGAGTTCACACTAAACTTCCCACCCTTGTGCACTTCTAGTGCACTAGAGCTGAACTAGAAGTGCACACCGTGTGCACTTCTAGTGCACTAGACCATATGACCAGGCTGGCCAGGGAAGGTGACACCTAAATGGTTTATTGGATAATTGCATATCAAGTGATAGGGGGCATCCATTGTTATGCTGCTGTAAGAAAAAAAAACTTTGGGAATATATGGCCTATTCATGAATATAAATAAGTAAATTTTAAAATCAGCAGTTTTAACATTTTAGGTGATATCATGTTAAAGCTTAAATTTTTTTTTTTATTGATTGTAATCATATTTTTCCTAACCAGTATTTAACTGTAGGTGTAAAATAACACCCCTTAAAAATTAAATTTATAGAATTAACAAAGTTAAATTTAAATATGCTCCATAATGGATAATTAAATAAGTGTTTTTAATTTTTAATTTTTCAAGTGTACAAATGGGAAAATCAATGTGATAATTCTGGCCCAAATAATTTAGTTTGTAACAACATAAACTTTTTTTCCATAAGCTCAAATAAATCAAGGAAAAGTTTATATTTAAGCTAAAGTGTTATTTTTATAATATATAACTTACAGACAGTTCCTCATGTACAATATTAAAAGAGAATATTAATACATTGATGCTAAAACAATCAATATACTGTGAAAATTTAGTATTCAACTGTGTAATGCTTGCATATGTTTTAAAGATATAAAAAAAAATAAAATATTATCCATAAAATAAATAAATTTGATAACTTTATTCATGATTTCAATATTAAAAATAATGTATTAAAGGAATACTTTTATTGAAGAGGAAAATCACAAGTCATGCTGTGTATTGGTATTTTCTGAGAGGAACTAACAGTTTTCGTTATACCACTCTCCTGTTGATAAGAGGGCCTCAGGGTAAATGACAAAGAACAGTCAATTTTGCAGATTATAAGTATGCATTGAAATTCCGTGGTTTTCTCAAAATGCATGTTAGACATAAGCCTGGAATACCTGGGCACTCAGGCTTGTTAGTCATATAGATAAATGACCATAATTTTTGTATAATCAAATATACAAAAAAAATCATAATGGCATAAATGCGTATAGATATTATTGTCTCTAAAGCAGAATTTTCTATATTTCCAAATTTCTTGCCATTCTGCATAATCGTATATAACTTAAGAGGCAATTCCTCATGTTCAAGATTGAAAGAACATATTAATTCATTGATATTAAAACAATCTATACACTGTGATAGTATGTTTTGCAACCATGAATTGCTTGCATACTTTTTAAAGATATAAATAATTAAAAGTTTTCCATGAAATTATTAAATTGATAACTTTATTCAAGATTTCTATATTAAAAATTTAATGTATAAAGGGAATGCTTTTATACAAGAAAAAAGTCTCAAGTCATGCTGTGTATTGGTATTTTTCTGAGAGCAACTGTTTTCATTATACTGGTCTCCTGCGGTCGTCTCCTGCTGACAACAGGGCCTCAGGGTAAATAACAAAAATGCAGATGTATGCAATAGTTATTTAAAATTTCCTGTTTTTTTCCCCAAAAATACACGTAAGACATATATAAATGACTATAATTTTTGTTATAAATAATCAAATATGAAAAATAATCTTAATGGCATAAACGAGTGTTACATATTATTGTCATTATTGTCTTTGAAGTGGAATTTTCTAATCTTATCATAAAAAAACTGGTTTAAAAGTGTTAACCATTCTAGAAAGACCTCATATCAATATTTATCCACATTTCTTGCAATTCTACAAATAATAAATCTGCAGCATCTTTTAGTTTTTGAATTGGTGAATGTTAATTTTTTCTATTATAGATTTGACAAATTTGCCTTAGTGTCAGTATAAACACATTTATAGAAGATAATATATTTTAAAGAAAATATTTAAATACATGATTATAAAACTTTTTCAACTTCCTTTTCACATTAATGCAGATCTGGTTATTTTGTTTTTGTTTTTTTTTAAATAAAATATCACACATGGGCAGAAAACAGTTACAGAAGATTAAAGTGTCAAAAGTCATGCTGTGTATTGGTGTTTTAATATAGTACCCTGCTGATAATAGAGCCCCTCAGGGTAAATAACAAAAGGCAGATGATAAATATAAGTAGGCAATGTAAATTCTGTATTCTCTGGATGTTGGTGCAAATAAATTTCATATCAAGTAGTACAAAAAGAAAACTGAATTATTTTTGCATTTTATAATAAACTATTTTCAGAATAATATATATTATGTATATTAATCTTAGGTAAATCTCAGTTTGAGAAGGTAAGAGAGATTATAAATGGGATAAAGGCCAATTATAAACATATTAATTCTTTAATGTATTAAAGGCTATTAATGCTTGAAATCATTACCTCTAACTAAAGCAACCATAAGTTAAAATCAAAAATAACTTACTGGTATAATTCCCCCCCCCCCACCAAAAAAAAAAAACCAACAAAAAAACAAATCAAAAATGACTGAATTTTGAATTTTGTTTAATTAGCATTTCAATGTTTCATATTTCATTACCAGATTATATTAAGATAGAATCAAATTAAATATCAATTAATTTTGTTTATTTATGCACTTATCAACATTAAAGAAATAATTATTTATATGTATATACTTATTCTAACAATTAAGTTTTAAAGTACAAAATCAGTAAAACTAATGACTTTGAAAAAATATTTTTTTAATATTTTACACCATATTTTACAAAATTCAATATTCTCAACTTCAAAGTTATTATGAAAAGCTATTAAACAGATATTTATCTTTCTTTTTGTAAAAGTCAAATTGCTATTCATTGAAATAAAAGATAACTGCTTAATCCATATAATAGGTCTGGTGCACTACAAAATGCACAAATGAAGTGCACTAGTAGTGCACTACTAGTGCACTTTGAAGTGCACTAGTAGTGCACCTCTAGTGCACTCCTAGTGCACTTTGTGTAACCTTTAGTGTGAACTCAACTGTATATTTCGATCTTACACTAAACTAAACAAATTTTCTTTTTATTACATGCAAAGAAACGTTTTAAAAGACATTAAACCTAATACTGAATGAAAAGCGCGCCAAATAATAATACAACGTGTCGTCATTTACGACGTCACGTCATTAAGTTGGTTTCCAGTTCTGTGCACGCTGGTATTTCACTGAAACAACGTAAGGGGCTTAAATTCAAAACAGTGAAATTATCAAAGTGGTAATTTCACTGTTTCAAACAGTGAAATAACCAGTTTTATATCACTGATATATTTCTATAAACCACCGAAAAGCATGTAATAAATCAGTCTCCACCCTCCCCACATTATTGTATTTTTGGTACGATAATTATGTGGACAAAAACCAAAATCGGGATTACTTCCCTTGGTTTGAGCATGCGCAATGAGAAGCATTCCTGACAACCACCGACTGCAGAAGAAAAATTGTACATCAAATTGAAAAAAATGGCTAATATACAGATAAAGGAAGGCGAATTTACGTCAACTATTTATGGAATGGTGAGATGTTAATATTTGTTAACTGCAGAACCATTTGGCATTTATATTTAGATAACAATCCTGGTCTAAACTGTAATCCTTCAGCTGTTGGTCACGATTACTGGAGGTTACGTACCACGGAGGATACGTACCAGGAGGTTACGTACCATTTTTGGAGGTTACGTACCACTTATATATTTTGGAGGATACGTACCATATATATAATTTATATAAAATACAAATAATATAGAGCATAACAATTATAAAAAAAGACCGAATTTTATAACTTTAATATTACTTTTTAAAAATCACATATGAGCAATTAATATAAATGCAAACGTTTTATGTATGATTATCACACATTCAGAAATGAGTAATCTAACAAATCACAAACAAATTGCAAACTATTGTTGTTTCATTTCAGAGCGTGTAACATAATTATGTGTTTTTATATATGAGTCTGTAAATAAAACGTAACCTGCATATGTACTGTTATCAATTATTTTGTCTTGTTTATTTCAGTATATTATTATTATTCAGTGCGGATAAATAAAACTCAAATATTTTAAAAAATACTTGTTAATTGTATTATATATAATTATTGTTATTTTCATTTTATGCACAGTTCGGTTAACGTGTAAATAAAAATGTATCAATATGTAACACTTGTTTTTTTTCAAAGGTAAGTAATTTTGTCCGGTATATTAACATGCATATGAAATATTATTATTATTATTGATTATTTTGTTTATTTCAGTTAATTTCAGTGAAATGCGTATAAATAAAAAAATAATACTACATACATGTGAACTTTTTCTGGTGCCAAGTAGGGAGATTTGACCCTAAAAGTAGGTAGATTGAGTCTGTTGGGAGGGAGATTTTTGGAAACCGGACTTTTTGCGTACAGGAAGGTCTTAACACACAATAATTAAAATTTAAAAGCATTAACTACAAGTTCTTTAAAAACATTTTATTTTGCATGATAACTAATTAACAACCCAATTTTATCATTAAAAAACTTTCTTTATAAAACATATGTTTTTTTTCCACTGCACTTGTGTTTTGATGTTTATGTAATTTACTCAACTTTCACTTACACACTTTACACAATTAGTACTGTCTTTATTTGTCATACATGTTTTTTGACTTCACTGTACACAAGTGTTGGCTAAATGGCATACACAGCCCATTTCAGACACATCAGGTTGCTTCTCACGAATAGGAGATAGGACAGAGTTGTGACGGCCAACCATGACACTAGCGTTGTCAGACCCATACCCAATGCATTGCTTCCATGGTATATTCTGATCCCTGAAACAGAAAAAAATATCAATTATCATACCTAATTATAAATATATTATTCATCATTTCATAATTTAAAACAGTTTAAATTGATCCTTCCAATTAGATGTAAATCATAGCCTTACAGAATATTACATTATGTAGACACCTGTCGTGGATGCATGTTAATCCCCATGACAATTAACAATTTTCATTCAAAATAACATAATTGGCATTAATTGACAGTGTATTTGTTTAACAATAAACGGTACTTACCAGATTTTAGTCTCCCTCGCATGTGCCTAATTACTGTTATCAGCAATTATAAACCCCGAAGTCAAGCTGTGAAAAACTGACAATATACAAACAAATTTGCCGATACCAAGGTCAAGGTAATTAGACTGTGTTACATTTTTAGTGAAATAGACAGACTGTGGATGGGTAAAACGAATCGATATCGGTAAACCAGTCAATAAATGTTTACACTGATCATGATTACCGAAACGCTTGTGTTGTAAAATTTTTATTGCTTTTGAAATGAAATATCGGTAGTTTGTAAACCCCGAGCGGTAGGGGGGTCTTAGTTGGCCAAAATCGGTAGTCTACCGCCCAAATCGGTAGGGTTCACATGTATGATACTATAAAGTGTTTTTTTTTATATATTTACCGTGGTCTGTTTCATTGTACTGTTCATTTCAGTTTAGTGCGTGTAATTATATTAGTGTTATTAATGATTTTCATCGTTTGTTCGTTTCAGTTTTGTGTTGTACAGTAAATAAAACTTGTTTATTATCGTTAATTGGTTTGTTGTTTATTCTTATATATTCATACATATTTAATCTCATTACAAAATACAGTTACTGCGCGAATTTAAACAATAAACCTGATATTCACACCTTATCCCTTATTATCACTTTATTATATATTTCTATAGTGCCATTAGTGGTACGTAACCTCCAAAAATGGTACATTTATGAAGTGGTAAGTAACCAGTAACCTCCATGGTACGTAACCTCCAAATTCCTTGGTCACTATCGGTTAAATATTCCAAAATCAGCTTCACAAGGGCACAGTTTATAAGCAAGTTGGCTTAATGCTGGAATAGACCCAGGGGTCAGAACCAGGAGTATATATGACACGCTAGTCACCTTGCCCGATAGAGCTTATAAATATCTCTTTATTAAAATTTCTTGAAAGACCATGAAGATGTTTCATTCACATTAATGTATTTTTTAAAATTACGTATAAGAAACATAATATAATTTGAAACATTTACAAATTGATAACTTTCAGCTCTTATATAAGAATTTCCTATTTTTAGATTTTCATGACATAATTTTTAAAGTCCATAAGACCTGTTATGATGCAAAGTTTGGACAAAACAAACTTAGTGGCTTTCTTGTGTTCTAAATTTTTGCGCCAATATGTGACGGTATACATTTTTTTGTGTTTTCATGTATTACATCTAAGAATATTAGCCGTAAATATATAGACATATTTAGGGCAGTCATTGAATGATTGATGGAAAATTTTGTATTGATATATCGAGAGACAAATATTGACGATATATTGACATTGACAGTAATGCAATGAAAAACATTTAAATGTACATAATTGGGATCATAGTGTTATGCATTGATCAGGGCTTTTTTTCCTTCTATAACAGGGGCCGATATAAGGCCCCTTCACAATTCAAAATTACTCAAGTGATGATATGAATGTTTTTATATTTATTATATATATACAGTCCAAATTTATGTAAATGAATATTTTTAGAGAATAGCTTATCAACGCTTATCAAGGAAATAAAATTTTAAGGTGCATACTTGTTTACATTTATTTGAAGTATAACCCAAGTTCCTGAACACTGGGCGTGTGAAAAAAGATGGTAATTAGTCTGGTCTATAAACTTTAAGGGGGCTTTTGTGTGATGGACTGTGGGGGGGAGCTTTTGTCCTATTTGTATTTTTGATGGGGGGGGGGGGCTTTTGTCCTATTTGTAAATTTCATGGGGGGGGGGCTTTTGTCCACCTTGTCATTTTAAATGGGGGGGGGAAGCTTTTGTCCTCTACTCTGTTATCAGTGTTCCCACTTCTATTTTTCATTGGGGGTATTTTTACCCCTTAATTACCTTTGGAACCTGGGGGTAAAATAAAAATTCAGGGGGTACATAAATTTGAACAATAATTATATGAAATTAAAGGATAATTCCAAAACCACACATCAGACAATTATGCTTTTTTTTTTTTAAAGATTCACTCCCCCCCTCCTTTAGGTAAAATTCATTGTGACCAATACATACTGCCATATATCTTAATTAATGTAACCATTATTTAAGTTATTTTAATTCATAAACTGCATATAAATTGTTACTACACACCTTTGAACAAAACAAAGCTTTTTTTTGGTGATGTTTTTAATTAACAAAATCGGCAATGCTAAATTATGTGACTAATGAAAATTTATCTGTTTTCTGCAGAAACATTCATAATTCCAGTTGTTGCTGATTATAATTATATTAAAATTTGAGAAATTGCTCAAAAAATTAATTTTTGAATTATACCTGATTACGTTTCTGACTTTCTGTGCTATTTTACCCTCTTGCCTAAATTTCTGTACGTGAATTTTGGCATTTATGCGTAAAATACGCACATATGTGCGTAAATGGGAATACTGTGTTATGACTTTTTCGTCATTTTGAAGGTTTTGGTGGCTGTATGACTCAGATCCTAACAAATTTTTATTTGGCGAAAGTCGAAATAAGTTTACATTTTGCCAGAATTCCTTTTAATTTTTTAACTTACATATATAAATGTTATGTACTTCACATGAACCAAAGAGATTTCCATAAATATCCGTAAGAAATTACCAGTAATTCCTTTTATGAAAGGAATGGGACAGTCTTTTTATATTTAAGGCATATTCATATTTCATCCTAAACATTTTCCATTATTACAGTGAATCTTTTGAAATATATAGTCAATGCCGCTCAAAAAATGAGCATGTATATTTAAGGTTACTTTGATGTTGAAATTTGTAGAAATTATTTGTTAGATGTATCAGACGTGGTCTATCATTTTATGTTAACCATACTTGGATTTTCTTACAACTTATTAGACAGTCTTTTTTACTTGTACTTAATGTAATTGTATTATTTTCAGATAAGAGAGTCAAGATTTAGTGAAGCTGTTCAAGTTCTCAATAACCAGCTACAAACTCACCAAAGGGTAAAACGAATTATTTAATACTGACATATTAAATATCGATTTACATTATAATTACGATTATATACATAGGATCATTATTCCTTTGCAAAGTAAGATTGTGTCAATGTCTGATGGTTAATAGCGGTGGCTTCTCTTTTAAAATACATAGAAGGAGTGGGCTCTATACTTTATCCCATAAAAAGTAATGAAATATTTAAAAAGCTGCGGAAAAAACAAAACCTGGACCGTCTTTTGTACAAATTTTTCTGCCTCATGAAGATCACCATCATCAAAAGTTATGTGGTATTACCAGGTATAGGCACATGGTTGTTAAAAATGAAGACACAATGTTTGTTGACAATGACTTCTATAGTGAATGGTAAATGTAGGAAAAGGCTGTGTGGTATTATAATGTATTGTACATATGTACGGTACGTTATAGCCAAAGATTTTGAAACCATTCTTTCCATTTGTTGGAAATCATCGTGTTTCAAATATAAATCATGTTTTCAAATATGTCTTTACTTTTCAAATGTCAAATTTTTTCCTCTTCCAGTCAAGAGCAGCCTTGTCATTGCTTGGGTATTGCTATTACCAGATGCAGGATTTTGTGAATGCGTCTGACTGTTACGAACAGTTGTCGATGATGCACCCTGAGATAGAGGAGTACAAACTGTACTATTCCCAGGCTCTTTACAAGGCTTGTTTGTATGCAGAGGCTATGAAAACTGCTTGTCAAATTGATAATCCTGCTAGACAAGGGGAGGTAAGTAAAATAATCTTTTCAGTCTTGCTACTGGCTGTAAGTTTGACCTAATGCTTCATTATTTAAGAAGTTTGATGAGAATATTGAACCCCTAATGTATGTTTTAAAACAACTAATTTTACGGAGGGAAACAATTCTTTGAATGCTTGGTTCTAAGTTAAGTTTGAAGATTGAAAAAATGAATACACTTTCCATTTCCAGTATAAGAGTTGTCTTATCAATACTACTAAATTATTCATCTGATTGAGATTAACATGTTGCCTTTTAATAGCCAGTGTTGAGTATAAACTGCTTTAAGGGCTGATTTAATGATTTATATAGAATTCCTTTTGTTTAGTTATGGACTTAAGTTAAGGACTTCAGTTCTGGATTTGAACATTTTATGAACTTCAGTTTTGGATTTGAACATCTAATGATCTAAATACAAATTTAATGTTATTTTCTTGAATATTCATTTTAGAGAAACTAGATTTGCATGTAATAATAATTTTTCAGATGGTACATATGGGCACACCTGAAATAAGTATTTTGTAAATTATAAGTTATGTTGATATTATTGTTTACTTTAATGTTTATTCTTCAGTTTATTGTTTTTCTGCGTTAATTTTATTTCTACCCACCTATTAGGCAGGGGTACATGTATATTGATTTGCCCTTGTCTGTCCATAATGCTGTCTGTAGACAGACTAAACAGTAGAATGTTGAGCAATTCATGTCCTATGGACACATTTTTTAGTTTAAAAATGTTCTGTTCAAATTTGCAATATCCAAAATTTATGGATGTCATGATAACATGTATTTATATGGGAGGAAAATCAAATATGACAGTTTAAGTTTACTGGTATTTACCAACATCATAAGGCTTCTGCATTTCAAGTAAGAGAGCTTACCTTTAAATATATATGTTAAAATTTACAATGTTACTCTATAGCATAGTAATGTTGTACCATTATCAAAAGCACATTTGTGTGTTACATTTTAGATTTATATCCGTAGTTTTAGGTGAGAGCATGTTTTTCAGTATGACGACCCTTTGAAAACTGTACGGTCAGTGTATGATAACTTATCATGCAATTTATAGGTAGTATTAAATAAGATCTTCATTTTGTGGTGTGTATTTATGTTTATATTTCTGTTTTACTATAAGGTGATCAAACTGCAAGCTGCCATCAAGTATGGTGAGGAAGATTTACCAGGAGCAAAGGTAAAAAATTATATATATTAAAAAAAAATTGAATTTGAACTTTTAATGACAATGTTTCGGCTAACACTTTCAAGTCCTTAAATTTTTATTTTTCTCTCTAGTTTTTAAGTTTTTGTTCCATTATGTTAGTTTTCATTTATTCAAAGTATATAAATCTATAGATCTTCTGTTATTTATTGTTTAAAAAGAATAATTCAAATAAACCAGTATGAAAGGATAATGTTTGAGTGAATGGTGCTTGCAGCAATATCACTGATATATGCTTAAATCCGTACTTACCATAGAAGTATAATATTTTGTTCCAGAACATGTAATTCTGTTTACATACAAAAATCATGTGTGTAAAATAATAAACTAAAGGATATTTTATGTTTTAACGCTTTTCTAAAATCTATCATAAATTATGGAAACGACATAATTTTTATGTTTATAAAATTTATAAAACATTATTACATATAGCTTTATACACTTCATTATATAGTTTATATGTAATTTAAGTTTTAAACTATATTGTGTATGATTCAAATGGTAACAATAAGTAATATGTACAATATTTTGGTATTTTTAGAGCTTGGTTGAACAGTGCCCTACAGACGACCCAGATACAGAGATTAATCTAGGGTGTCTCCTCTTCAAGGTAAGATTTAAGTGTAATGGTTTGTTATCAAATTTAGGCTAGCAGACTATTGTATTAATATAGCATTTGAGCGGACATTCTGTTCTATTTTTAGAAGCAATAGTGCCCATGGAAAATAATACCAAAAAAACCAACTGAAAATGATAATACTTGCTGAATATGGCAGTTGTTGGCCAATGAAAGGCAGTGTATTGTATACATATACTTTTTGAGAAAAAAAAACAAAGTTATTTCTTATTAACTTTGGATGATCACTGACCACTGAAAGGCATTTTTATTGATAGAAAATATGATGTATTTGTTTTAGGAACATCGTTTTGAGGAAGCCTGCAACAAGTTCGCTACAGCTATACAAATACTTGGATATAAACCAGATTTATCGTACAATATAGCTCTCTGTCACTATATGATGAAACAGTATGCACCAGCACTTAAACATATAGCTGATATAATAGAGAAAGGAATCCGAGAACATCCAGGTAGGTGAAATATACTTCAAAACAGCTGGTTTTATGCAAATCACTTGAAAATTGGTCATTGGTCGGTTCTGTTGTCTGCCTGGTAAGATCATTATTGGATTGGAGCATTGGATTTGTAATCTAGGGGTTCGAGTCTAGACAAACTTTATCTGTGACAATTGATCTAAGATGTTGAGTCTAATGAGTCATTGACCTCTCACTGCTGATTCAGAAAGTATGTGAAATTAGTAGTCGGTCACTTGCGGTGAAATTGGTAATTATAAGTAAGCTATCCAGGAAAGCTGGTCAAGTAGATCAACGGCCAAGATATGAACAAGAATGTGTTTAAATCTGCATAATAACCATCCAAATAAACATTTTGCTGGCCTTCGTTTGAATGAAGCTTTGTCACTCCTCAAAGGATTTACTAAATTAGTACCAGTCAAAAATCTACTTGTCATTTTCATTGCAGAATAAGAGAAATATTTTAATAAGAACATATTCTGGAATTTCAGAGTTGAGTGTTGGCATGACAACTGAAGGAATTGATGTTCGTAGTGTTGGAAACTCCCTCACACTTCATGAGACTGCCCTTGTTGAGGCCTTCAACCTGAAAGCAGCTATTGAATATCAGCTGAAAAACTGTAAGTTGATTTTTTATACCCCCAAAAACGAAGTTTGGGGGGGTATATAGGAGTCACCCGGTGGTCGGTCGGTCGGTCGGTCCAGACGTCCGTTGCATTTTCCTTGTCCGGAGCATAACTTGAAAACTAATGGTTGGAATTCAATATAACTACATACAATGGTCAAGCACATTGAGAGGAAGTGCAGTGCACAAGAACCATAACTCTATCATGACTAATTACAGAGTTATTGCCCTTTGTTACTTTTCCTTGTCCGGGGCATAACTTGAAAACTACTGGTTGGAACTCAAAACAACTTCATACAATTGTCAAACACAATAAGGGGAAGTGCAGTGCACAAGAACCATAACTCTATCTAAAGTAATTACAGAGTTATTGCCCTTTGTTGCTTTTCCATTGCTTTTTTTTTTGTCCGTTGCATTTTCCTTGTCCGGAGCATAACTTGAAGACTAATGGTTGGAATTCAATATAACTACATACAATGGTCAAGCACATTGAGAGGAAGTGCAGTGCGTAAGAAACATAACTCTATCTTGACTAATTACAGAGTTATTGCCCTTTGTTACTTTTCCTTGTCCGTGGCATAACTTGAAAACTACTGGTTGGAATTCAAAACAACTTCATACAATTGTCAAACACAATAAGGGGAAGTGCAGTGCACAAGAACCATAACTCTATATAAAGTAATTACAGAGTTATTGCCCTTTGTTGCTTTTCCATTGCCTTCTTTTTTTTGTCCGGACCGTAACTTGAAGACTAATGGTTGGAATTCAATATAACTACATACAATGGTCAAGCACATTGAGAGGAAGTGCAGTGCATAAGAACCATAACTCTATCTAAAGTAATTACAGAGTTATTGCCCTTTATTACTTTTCCATTGCTTTCTTTTGTCTGGACCATAACTTGAAGACTAATTGTTGGAATTCATTATAACTTCATACAATGGTCCAGCACATTGAGAGGAAGTGCAGTGCACAAGAACCATAACTCCATTTTGACTTATTACAGAGTTACTGCCCTTTGTTTCTTTTCCTTGTCCAGAGCATGACTTTAAAACTACTGGTTGGAATTCAAAACAACTTCATACAATGGTCAAGCACAATAAGGGGAAGTGCAGTGCACAAGAACCATAACTCCATCTTGACTAATTACAGAGTTATTGCCCTTTGTTACTTTTCCATTGCTTTCTTTTGTCCGGACCATAACTGGAAATCTTATTGTTGGAATTCATTATAACTTCATACAATGGTCAAGCACATTGAGAGGAAGTGCAGTGCTTAAGAACCATAACTCCATCTTTACTAATTACAGAGTTACTGCCCTTTGTTACTTTTCCTTGTCCAGAGCATGACTTGAAAACTACTGGTTGGAATTCAAAACAACTTCATTCAATGGTCAAGCACAATAAGGGGAAGTGCAGTGCACAAGAACCATAACTTCATCTTGACTAATTACAGAGTTATTGCCCTTTGTTACTTTTCTTTGTCCAGAGCATAACTTGAAAACTACTGTTTGGAATTCAGTACAACTTCATACAGTTGTCAAGGACATTCAAAGGAAGTGCAGTGCACAAGAGCCATAACTCCATTTTGACAAAATACAGAGTTACTGCCCTTTGATACTTTTCCTTGTCCGGAGCATAACTTAAAACTTACTGGTTGGAATCCAAAACAACTTCATACAATGGTCAAGCACAATAAGAGGAAGTGCAGTGCACAAGAACTATAACTCTATCTTCAGTATTTATAGAGTTATTGCCCTTTGTTTTTTTTCTTTGTCTTTCTGGACTTATTACAGAGTAATTCAATTAAACTTCATCAATGGCCAACCACATTGAAAGGAAATGCAACATACATGAACCACAATTATCTTTAATTGCCCACAACCATAACTCTATGTTTCAATTCTTTTACAAGGTATTCTGTTACTAGTAACATCCTCATTTCCGAAGCAGACTTGTGGGGGTATTAATCACATTTAGTGATAGTTCTAGTTTTATTTTTCTTCATCCATTGTGAAGCATTTATTGACCAACAGAAAACTATAGTGGTATGATATTCATCATCATATTGGTGAATTTAGATTGGGGGTTGTCTGGGTATAAACAATCTTCTGTGGGCAACTACTCTAATACTTCTCAAGGGTTTTCAGCCATATAATGATTGACAATTCTTATGTTATTTTGATGTGATTAATGCTTCCGAGGGATCACTTTGTTTCCAGAATTTTGTAGGTATTGGATTGGTGGGTTTTTATAATTTGATCATATTAGGCAGAATAATGTCCCTTTGTTGTTGTTTTTTCACATAAATATATAAAATGTTGTTTTTTCATATGAATGTAATGTTGGTGGTTAAAGCAATTCTGTTACAATTTTCTTGACTGTATTTTAAAGCTTCTTTAAGAAGTTGAAAGTGAGCTTACTGGTTTAATTGAATGGTATACAGCTTTTGCATTCATTTTGAAAATAATGAAAGTGTAAATGGCTAAATGTTAATTGCTGAAGAAATATTGACAGGCTTCGCGAAAGTTGCCGGACCGTCGGACATGTCAGGCAAAAATCAGGCCGGTCAGATATTTTTTTTCGGAGTTCCGGACCTTATGTCCGGTACGAAAAAATGGCCGCTTTGATCATGAATGTTTTGATTTCCAAACAGAGTCCATCCACAGGTGATTGAAACAAACATTTTAAAGTTTTAAATGGGCTATAAACTATATTTTAATATACATATATAATATAGACCGGTAATGTAAAATATTTGATTATGTGACTAGCGCCTGTGAGTCCATCAATCTGGATAAACTAATGTTTTATTTAAGGGAATAAAATTGTGTTGCAAATCTTTAAAAGTTGTTATGTCTTTAAAAAAAAACACCAAGGTATTACCATATACATATATTTGGGGGAAAAAGTTCGGTCAGACAAAAGTTCTTTCGGTCAGACAAGAATTGAAAGTTTGTCTGACCGAATGTCAGGCAAATTTTTCAGCAGTTTCGCGAAGCCTGTATTGAAATGGTAGTTTTTTGTAGAACATTTATTAAATGTTTATTTTGATAAAAATTTCAGTTGAGGCAGCATGTGAAGCCCTGACAGACATGCCACCTAGAGGTGAGGAGGAGTTAGATGCTGTCACCCTGCATAACCAGGCACTGATGAACATGGACAATGACGCCACACAAGGCTTCGAGAAGCTCCAGTTCCTTCTACAGCAAAACCCGTTCCCACCAGAGACGTTTGGCAACCTGCTCATTTTATATGTGAAATATGAGGTGAGTTTAAATAAAATTATAAATTTTGGATTAGTTTCCTAGAATATTCACTTGCACAGCCAGCTGTTTACATGATGTGTTTCTCCCCCAATATAGCTGACGTATACATGTAGGATGTGTTTATTAACTTTAATGAGGGCCCATGTAGGGCACAAAAAGCAGCTTTCGCTGTCGAGTACGGATCCCGGAAATGTCACCATTCACGCCCTTAAAAAGTTAATTTTGAAGCACAAATGGTGATAATTAACCTCCATGCAATTTCTATGGAGTATTAGTCAAAGATGTGAATTTTGAGCCAAAAGTAGGTCACTGTTTGGTGGTTAATGAGAACCTAAATGCACAGTACACAATATGAAAAGGATGTAGCCCTTAAAAGGGCTGTTGGTGTCAAGCGAAGGTATCGTTGCAACTTGACTTTTTATAGTATATATAAAAAATGACCTGAAACACAAGAATTTTTTTTTGAAAGAATTGAATTATATTTTCAGTACTATGACCTGGCCGCAGATGTTCTAGCGGAAAATGCCCACCTGACATACAAGTACCTGTCCAGTGTGAGTAGATCCTATATGATTTAATATATATGTGATAGAATTGATGGCAAAACTTCTGATATGATACAGATAGTATTTATAACTTCATATGCCTACACTATGATATGATATAACACTTCGCCCTGACTGTTGTGGGTCTGAATCCTTCCAGGGACTTTGAATTCTTTCATGTGAGGAAGTTATCCAGCTTGCTTACGGAAGGTTGGTGGTTCTACTTGCCTGAAATAATGCGTGGTGGGCAGGGGCACCTGAGGTCTTTCACAAGTAAAAATGAAAGTCGCTATATTACCATAGCATAGTTAGTGTGACGAACCAAAAAGAAAACAAAATAGTATGATAGAATTCATAATTTTCAGTTAATATGTATTTCATATTTAGTTATACTAATATTGTTACTTTCAAGGTAAGCTATTTACATCAATTACGACTGTATAATTGAACTGGAACAGAATTAAGAATGAAATTATTTATTTAATCCAAATCCATGATTATTTTTCAGCGACTTGCAAGTATTTCTTATATATATAATTACATTGTTTTAGTTCACTTGGATAAATCCAGAAATGTCCATCAGTGATTTTTTTTCTCAATTTTCAAAACAACCTGTGCTTTTCCGCGGGGGGAAACATAGCGCAATAAATCTGAAAAAGGGGGAAATCTGAAATCAAATTCCAACAACTGAGAATGGAATTTCTCCACATATTTTATAAAAAAAATTCGATTTCAATTCAGTTTAACATGCATGTTATATAACAGAGGCTATCTATAGGGACAGCTTTCTGTCTTCTAGCTGATATATGTTAGATGCTGTGAAGTCATGGTTCTGATGAAAAAGTGATCTGGGCATTTAGGGGAAAATATTTGCATTTTTAGGGGCAAAATACTTATTTTGGGCTAAGGGAAACAGCCTTTATTTGGCTGTAAAACACAGGGAAAAATTCGCTGTCCATGCATGTCAGTGTATATAACCCTCTCCAAAAAATGATAATTTTGACTGGATTTGTCTTTTTTATAGCAAAAATTACTGTATTTTTGCTGTTTCATTACAGTACTTGGTATGTACAACAAATACTTCTAAAAGCCATAGCAAAATGTTGGTTAATAACATAAAAATGGACGTTTTTGAGATGCATTGTTATTGTTTCAAATCTTCTTTTTTTTTTTGATGATATATTATTCATATACTTTTGAAAATGTTTTCAGTTTTAAAAGTTGTTATTTACATATTATTTTTCTTTATTTTCAAAAAAGTGAGTTTTTGTTCTGATTTTAGTATTATCAATCAGAGCTTCTTGGTTCCCAGGTTAGAGCTGTTGTGATATTATTTGAAGTTTGCTGTACGAGGAACCAGTGTTATAAAACATAAATTTTGCAGACAAGTCTGAAAATAAGATCTTTAGTTAACTCTTTAAGCTACTAGCACAGAAAATGTCAAGCCCTTGCGTTCAGTATAGAGCAAGGTTAGTCTGCACAATTTTGCAGTCTTACTAGACTCTTTTTGTTGACAGAGTAACATCAAATTTTAATCTTGATTTCCCCAAAATTTATAAATTATTAATGGACAATTCCAAAAATGGAACTTATTAGAGCCCAATTTACAAATCAAGCAGGTTACGGATTAAGGTTAAGTTGCTCTTCAGGACAGTAATATTTTGACTGGTCTCTATATTTAGGTTTTGTAAGATTGGTTCTTATTGGCTGATCACAGAACAGAATTCTGATTGGCTGATCACATAAGGTTGTTTGATTGGCTAATTACAGAATGTGATCTGATTGATTTATCACATAAGTTAAAGATGTTGCAAGATGTTTCAAGTTTAAATTTGTCACTCACTTTCTGTCACATAAAAATTTAGATATGAAAATTTTCAATTATTCTTAACCCTTACCTTGCTAATTATCTTAAATGGATTTATTCATCTTTCAATCTGGACATTACCATTCCTCAATTGTTGGGGAAATTTTAAAATATGTACTGACTGAAGCGCAAACAGTGCTGACCATGATAAGATAGCACACAATGATGTATTGGCTGGTCTGCACTGGTTGCATGTAAAGATTCAGTTGGCACAAGTAGACTAAGGGTTAAAAGTCTTTATAATGTCAAGTTGTCACAGAAAGTCAAATGGTTTGTTAAAATGTATTTTCACAAAGTACAAATGAGCCGCGTCACGACAAAACCAACATAGTGCGTTTGCGACCAGCATGGATCCAGACCAGCCTGCGCATCCGCCCAGTCTGATCAGTATCCATGCTGTTCGCTTATCAACCCTGTTACAAGTATAGAAACTGATAACGAACAGCATGGATCCTAATCAGACTGCGCAGATGCGCAGGTTGGTCTGGATCCATGCTGGTCGCAAACCCACTATGTTGGTTTTGTCATGAAACGGCTCAAATGTACTTGAAATTTGTCATTCACAATTATGATCATGTTCATTATCATGATTCTACCATGTTTAAGTTCACATTGTCTTAACTTTTATATTGTATGACTTAAGTAATTCAAATCAAATTTTTTAAAATAATTTTGACATATTTTGGCATTAGCATTGCATTGATCTGTCTGTTTGATAAAAAATCTATGATACAGCTTTGTAAAAAAAATGTTGTTAAAGATTTGAAAATTACTTTGTTTTAACTTATAAAAGTTTGAATTAACAATATGTAATACTTGATTTTCTCTTTTTTTGTAGCATTTTAAGGCAAGCAGTTTACCACTGTCCTTCAATATTTGCCCATTGTTCAGGGCATTTAAACAAATCTTGTTTTATTCATGTTCTTCTTTGCAAAGTTGATAATAGTTCATGTTGATATTTTATTGTTAATTTTGATTATATGTTTTTTGTTGTCTTTTTTTTTTCAAAAGAATTATTGCATCTAAATAAACAAAAAGATTTTTTTTTACTTTAGCATTTAGAAAAGAATAATATTTTGTTCTGCAAAATGTACTTTTCAGTTTTATATATTCTAAGAGAGTATAAAATAGAGAAATACTAGCAGACAAATATAAAAACTACAATAAAGCAAATTTATTTTTGATTTATAAGTAAGTAAGCTAAAGTATAGATTCCAAAATATGAATTACAAACAAGTAGATATTTGTTACAAACAAGCTAGGTAGTTAGTTTACGCTGTAGTTTCAAGTATAACTATTTTGTATTGTATTATATATACATGTATCATAATGACATTGTAAACAATTGATTGTATTTTTTCCTCTTACAGATGGCTATTTTTTTTGATACTTGTATTGATTAAAGAGATATCCACTTGTTTTGTTAAAGACATTGAAATGACATTCCCTAGATGTACATTTTGAAAGGACATTTATAAGGATACAATTTCATTATCACAGCTGTAAAATTCATTTGATATGAAGTCAGTAACTGTTTTCCCTTCATGATAGCCTCAAATTTTATCTCAAATTCAAAGCTTATTGCAACTTTGGTATGTAAACAATCCACTAAAATCTTGACAAATTGACCAGTATGGCTTCTTCCAGAAATTCAAAATTCATTAAAAAACAGCTTCACTGTTATTAAATTGATCTGACCTCAGATAACCAGATATATGTATGAATGTATAATAGAAATAGAAACCAAAGAATTGAGCTTCTTACATGTATATTGATCAAGGAAAATTGGCACCAGCAATTAGCACAAAGCATGGGATAATGGATTTCAAAATATAAATAAAGCTTGTATGATTGAACCTTTATCTGTATTTCAGTATCTGTATGATTTCCTGGAAGCTGTGATAACGAGACAGACTTCCCCTGAAGAGGCTTACAGGAAGTTAGATGAGATGGCAACCAAACAGACTGAAACCCTGAGAAAACTTACCAAACAGGTAAAATAATTGAGCCGCGGCATCACAAAACCAACATAGTGCGTTTGCAACCAGCATGGATCCAGACCAGCCTGCGCATCTGTGCAGTCTGGTCAGGATCCATGCTGTTTGCTATCAATTTCTCTACTTGTAATAGGGTTTGTGAGCAAACGGCATGGATCCTTATCAGACTTATCACACAATTATTGTATATTGTTCAACAGAATATGTTCTTAGAACATGCTGCGATCCCAGATTTGTAAATAAACAAATGAAAAGCAGTTAAAATAACTTCACTGAATTTTGAGAATTTAAACATTAAAGACCCTGGTCATTTAGGCATTCATTGTTAAAATAATAATCTAAATGGTGTGTGTCTTCGATGATGGAGGCTGAATTGCTATAATTTCCACAGGAATTAGTCAAATTATTGCCAGTCATTCAGCTTGTGCTCTTATGCAAACTGAAACATAAAGTAAATACTGTATAGAAAAACAGGGCCTTAAGTATATTAGAAACTGGCCTTGGCCAGAATGAATCTTAATTGATGTAGGAAATATAAAACTTCTATGTTTTTGAAATTTTAGCTTGGTCTCCTAGGTAGCCAGTTGTTGCCCCTCATAGCCAACTTTGACAAGGCGCTCTAATGAGAAAATTTTATATAAAAGTAATTATTTATTAAAAAGTATAGTACAAAAAATATGATATCTGCTTTGAATATATAGGTACAAGAGGCTCGACAGAACCATGATGATGAGGCAGTGAAAAGAGCAGTTAATGAATATGATGAGGCCCTGGAAAGGTTGGTTGAAATTTATTGAGCTAATTTATGAATGTTTGATGGTTTTACACATAGATACCTGTTTGTGCATTAATTAATACATCAAAGAGCACCGGGGTGTACTCACAATACTAGTAATATAGCTTAGAAAGTTGTCAGATAAATTTAACAGAGTTTATTAACCAGGTTTTCAACGAAAACAGGGTTATTGTAATGCCGAAGTCGGCAGGCGGGCGTCAACTTTTGGTTTCCTCTCAATAACTTTAGTTTGCTTTGGCCTATTGACACCAAACTTGGTGTGTAGGTTGCTTATATCAAGAGGCAGCTTGAGATTGCTACCCAGGTGTCTGTGATCAAGGTCAAGGTCACTGTTACTAAAAATAGAAGTTCAGTTTCCGCTCAATAACTTGAGTTTGCTTTGACCTATTGACACCAAACTTGGTGTGTAGGTAGCTTATATCAAGAGGCAGCTTGGGATTGCTACCCAGATGTCTGTGATCAAGGTCAAGGTCACTGACTGTTACTAAAAATAGAAATTCAGTTTCTGCTCAATAACTTGAGTTTGCTTTGGCCTATTGACATCAAACTTGTTGTATGGATAGCTTATATCAGAAGGCAGCTTGGGATTGCTACCCAGGTGTCTGTGATCAAGGTCAAGGTCACTGTTACTAAAATTCAGTTTCTGCTCAATAACTTGAGTTTGCTTTGGCCTATTGACACCAAACTTGGTGTACGGACAGCTTATATCAAGGGGTAGCTTGGGATTGCTACCCAGGTGTCTGTGATCAAGGTCAATGTCACTGTTACTTAAAATACAAATTCAGTTTCCGCTCAATAACTTGAGTTTGCTTTGGCCTATTGACACCAAACTTGGTGTATGGATAGCTTACTAGTATATCAAGAGGCAGCTTGGGATTGCTATCCAGTTGTCTGTGATCAAGGTCAAGGTCACTGTTACTAAAAATAGAAATTCAGTTTCTGCTCAATAACTTAAGTTTGCTTTGGCCTATTGACACCTAGCTTGGTGTATGGATAGCTTATATCAAAAGGCAGCTTGGGATTGCTACCCAGGAGTCTGTGATCAAGGTCAAGGTCACTGTAACTGAAAATAGAAATTCAGTTTCTGCTCAATAACTTGAGTTTGCTTTGGCCTATTGACACCAAACTTGACGAATGGATAGGTTATATCAAGAGACAGCTTGGGATTGCTATCCAGGTGTCTGTGATCAAGGTTAATGTGTTTAGTTTTCATGTTATACCTTGAGTTTGCTTTGACCTTTTGACACCAAACTTGCTGAGTGGCAGCTTTGGATTGCCACTAAGATATCTGGGAGCAAGTTCAAGGTCATTTGCTTACATTAGAATTTTCAGCTTCTGCTCAATAACTTCAGTGCTTTTTTGCCTATTGATTGCTGTCACATCAAAACTTGGTCGTTGAAAACCTGGTTTTCGTCGCATTGCAGCGCTTCTTGTTAAAATTAATGTATAAAATAGAAATTAAATCAGAATGTATATTATATTTCTTTGTAATTCTTTTCAGGTATATACCTATCCTCATGCAACAAGCAAAGATTTACTGGGACATGGAAAACTATCAACAGGTGGAGAAGATTTTCCGTAAATCTGTGGAGTTCTGTAACGAGCACGACACGTGGAAACTGAACGTAGCTCATGTGCTCTTCATGCAGGAGAACAAGTACAAGGAGGCGACAGGATTCTATGAACCCATCGTGAAGAAGAATTATGATAATGTAAGTGTAAGAGATATGGATTATATTGCAGAGAAAAATGAAACATTGGAAACAAATTTCTGTGCAAATTCATAATCAGAAAATGAAAGGCAACTTCAGACACCTTCAGAGTTTTATTTATTCCAATATTCATGTTAAAAAACCATATTTTATGTTTATTTATACCCTTTTTTAGCTCACCTGTCACAAAGTGACAGGGTGAGCTTTTGTGATCGCTTTTCGTCCGGCGTCCGTCCGTCGTCCGTCCGTCCGTCGTCCGTCCGTAAACTTTTACTTTAAATGACATCTCCTCATAAACCACTAAGCCAATTTCATCCAAACTTCACAGGAATGTTCCTTTGGTGGTCACCTTTAAAAATTGTTCAAAGAATTTAATTCCATGCAGAACTCTGGTTGCCATGGCAACCGAAAGAAAAAACTTTAAATATCTTCTTTTACAAAACCATAAGAGCTAGAGCTTAGATATTTGGCATGAAACATCTTCTAGTGAGTGTCTACCAAGTTTGTTCAAATAAAAGCCCTGGGGTCAAAATTGGCCCCGCCCCGGGGGGTCATTGATTTTCCCTATATGCATATAGTAAAAACTTAAAAAAATCTTCTTTTAAAGAACTCAAAGAGCTAGAGCTAAGATATTGAGCATCAAACATGTTCTAATAGGTGTCTACCAAGTTTGTTCAAATAAAAGCCCTGGGGTCAAAATTGGCCCCACCCCAAGGGGTCATTGATTTTCCCTATATGCATATAGTAAAAACTTAAAAAATCTTCTTTTAAAGAACCAAAAGAGTTAGAGCTAAGATATTTAGCATGAAATATGTTCTAATAAGTGTCTACCAAGTTTGTTCAAATAAAAGCCCTGGGTCAAAATTGGCCCCGCCCCGGGGGGTCATTGATTTTCCCTATATGCATATAGTAAAAACTTAAAAAATCTTCTTTTAAAGAACTCAAAGAGCCATGGCTAAGATATTTAGCATCAAACATGTTCTAATAGGTGTCTTTACCAAGTTTGTTCAAATAAAAGCCCTGGGGTCAAAATTGGCACCGCCCCGGGGGTCATTGATTTTCATTATATGTGTATAGCAAAAACTTAAAATCTTCTTTGAAAAAACCCAAATAGCTAGAGTTTAGAAAGCATGAAACATCTTTAAGTGAGTGTCTACAAAGTTTGTTCAATTAAAAGACCTGGGGTCAAAATTGGCCCCGCCCCGGGGGTCATTGATTTTCATTATATGTGTATAGCAAAAACTTAAAATCTTCTTTGTAAAAACCCAAATAGCTAGAGTTTAGATATTAAGCATGAAACATCTTCTAGTAAGTGTCTACAAAGTTTGTTCAAATAAAAGCCCTGGGGTCAAAACTGGCCCAGCCCCAGGGATGTCATTGTTTTTAACTATATGTGTATAGTAAAAACTTTAAAAAAATCTTCTTTTAAAAAGCCCAATGAGCTAGAGCTTAGATGTTTAGCATGAAACATCTTCTTATGGGTGTCTACCAAGTTTGTGCAAATAAAAGCCCTTGGTTTAAATTGGCCCTGCAACGTTGGGGGAAGGGGGGGTTGGGGGGGGCCTATATACAGGTGAGCGACCTCAGGGCCATCATGGCCCTCTTGTTTATTGGAAAATATTGATTTTTTCACTAGGAGTGATATAAAGTTAGTGATATGAATTATATTTCACTTATAAAAACTTTGTATTGTCATTGATCTAACTTAAATGGGACAAAAGATTATCCGTAGCTCTGCTAAAATATCTGCTTCATTTTATAACATAACTTTAAAATCATCATTCCGGTAGTCTAAAAAAGGAAGTATATATTTTTGTTAGCAGGGGTTCGAGTAATTTGTTTAAAAACTGTAATGTGTTTTTGCATTGAAAAGTGTTCTTGTTCTTTTGGTAAATAATGACAATGGTTGGGTAAAAGTGTATAGAGCTATAGCTAATAAAATGTTTTATATTTTAAAAGAATTAAAGTTTGAAATATTTTCATAGTTAATGATGTAATATAGAATGTCTTGGGGTTTTTCATACGCATCGATAGCCTAAATAAACTGAATGAAATGCTCAACAAATTATTATTCTGCTGTTTTAAGTTAACTTTGTAGTGCCTGCAGCATTTTCTAAAGGAGATATACGTATAATCCGAACATATTTCATTCATAAGGTATTTTGGGATTATTCATTTTCCAAATAGAAACAACTATTTTATTAACTTATATAGCTGTATATATAGTGTAAGATATAATTTACTTGATTTCAGATTCTGAATGTGAGTGCTATAGTACTAGCCAACCTTTGTGTAGCCTACATCATGACCAGCCAGAATGAAGAGGTGAGAATTTGTGTTTTGATAATGGCTTCAACACTTTAAATTGATACTTTAGAAACTATCAACCATACTTCCTTATTTGAAATCTAGTGATAATACAAGTAAAACAAATTAGGGGTAGAGGGGGGTGGCAATAAATATTTGCTAATGCTATTGTCAGTCCATCCGGATGTCTGTAGACTGACAAAACAATGGAATGTGTGGGCACCCATGGCTTATGGACACATTTCTAGTTTTGTAATCAAGCTAGCTGAATGGTTTTATTCTGGTGCCAACTTGTGTCTGAACGGCTGCAAGGATTGTTGCCATAATTATAACTTTAGTAACTCAGCCAAAAAAAAAAAAAATACAAAACATAATGAAACAAGAATTTGTAACAGAGTTACCAACGTCCCCCGCCCCGGGAGTTTTCTATGAAGCATAAAATTGTGCTATTTCAAAAGATTGAGGTATGGATCTCAGGACATTCAGTCCAAAATTATGATCAATGCTAGATCTGCAAATGTAACAATAAATTTGTTAAAGAAATAAAATGAAACATGGAATTTAAAAATTTATCATGTTAAGCTTTGACCTCTAAGTGTGACCTTGACCTTGGAGGTAGGGGAGCAGGTGTTGTGCATGACATAATGTCTTATTATTGAGACTATTTGTGCCAAGTATTTTCAAAATCCCTTGAACTATGAAGAAGTTATAGATTGGACACAAAATATACCCTATAACAGACTATGTAAATCTTTGACCTCTAAGTGTGACCTTGACCTTGGAGGTAGGGACACAGATGTTACGCATGACATATCATCTAATCATTGTGACTATTTGTGCAAAGTATTTTCAAAATCCCTTAATCTATGAAGAAGTAATGGACGGGACAAAAAATATACCAAATAACAGACTCTGTTAACCTTTGACCTCTAAGTGTGACCTTGACCTTAAGAGGTAGGGGTGCAGGTGTTGTACCTGACATATCGGCTTATTATTGTGACTATTTGTGCCAAGTTATTCCAAAATCCCTTGAACTATGAAGAAGTTCTAGATTCGACACAAAATATATCCTATAACAGACTATGTTAATTTTTGACCTCTAAGTGTGACCTTGACCTTGAAGGTAGGGATGCAGGTGTTGCGCATGACACATCCTCTTATTATAGTGACTATTTGTGCGAAGTATTTTCAAAATCCTTTGATCTATGAAAAAGTTATAGACCTGACACAAAATATACCCTGTAACAGACTATGTAAGTATTTGACCTCCAAGTGTGACCTTGACCTTGGAGGTAGGTGACCGGTTTTTGCGCATGACACATCATCTGATTATTGTGAACAATTATGGCAAGTATTTACAAAAGTCCTTCATAGATAAGAAAGTTATGGACCGGACACGACATATACCCTCAAATAGACAATGTTGACCTTGAATGAGCAAGTACGACCTTGACCCTGAAGGTACGGGTCTGGTTGTCGCGCATGACACATCGTCTTTTTATAACAAACATTTGTGCCAAGTTATCTCAAATTCCTCTGATAAATGACAAAGTTATGGACCGGACACGAAATATACCCTGTAACAGACTATGTTAATATTTGACCTCCAAGTGTGACCTTGACCTTGAAGGTAGGTGACTGGTTTTTGCGCATGACACATCGTCTGATTATGTGAACAATTATAGCAATTATTTACAAAATCCCTTCATAGATAAGAAAGTTATGGACCAGACACGATAATACCCTCAAATAGACAATGTTAACCTTGAATGAGCAAGTACGACCTTGACCCTGTAGGTACGGGTCTTGTTGTTGTGCATGACACATCCTCTTATTATAACAAACATTTGTGCCAAGTAATTTCAAATTCCTTTGATAAATGACAAAGTTATGGACCGGACACGAAATATACCCTGTAATAGACTATGTTAATATTTGACCTCCAAGTGTGACCTTGACCTTGAAGGTAGGTGACTGGTTTTTGCGCATGACACATCATCTGATTATTGTGAACAATTATGGCAAGTATTTACAAAATCCCTTCATAGATAAGAAAGTTATGGACCGGACACGACATATACCCTCAAATAGGCAATGTTGACCTTGAATGAGCAAGTGTGGCCTTGACCCTGGAGGTAGGGGTCTGGTTGTTGCGCATGACACATCGTCTTATTATATTATATAATAAACATTTGTGCCAAGTTATTTCAAATTCCTTTCATTTATGACAAAGTTATGGACCGGACACGAAAGTGTGACGGACGGACGGAGCCTATTTCTATATCCCCCTTTTTTCTTCGAAAAGGCGGGGGACAATAAATGGATTAAAAAAAACATGCAGGAAAAAAAGTTGACAATAAGTTAGATGCACACATTTTGTTTGATCTAGGCTGAAGAGTTGATGAGGAAGATAGAAAAGGAGGAGGAACAGGTGGCGTATCAGGACCCTGAGAAGAAAATTTATCATCTCTGTATTGTAAACCTTGTTATTGGGTATGTATTTTAAAGTTTTTTAGTTGACACTTAACTTGAAAAGTATGATACTATTCCTTTGTGTTTAAGAAGTTTTTATTTTTTGCAAAAGCTAATTAGCTGAATGCCCTTGGAAAACATGTGATTGTTTATAATTGACCATAAGGGAAAATGGAGGCATTTCATATTTTATTGACTAAAAGGGCAAAAAGAAGTGACTAACACTTTCTTGTTGGTTTTGATTATTCTGTCTCTGTGAAAGGGCTCATTTACATAATGCATACAAATCAAATAAAAAGTTGTATTCACAGCTCTATTACAGATTTATTGAAATATTTGAGGAATTTGTATATCCAAATATCATATATATGTCAAATAATAAATTTCATGGTTATTTCAGGACACTTTATTGTGCAAAGGGCAATTACGAGTTTGGTATATCGCGCGTGATCAAGAGTTTGGAGCCATACAACAAGAAGCTCGGTACGGACACATGGTACTATGCGAAGCGCTGTTTCCTGTCCCTCATTGAGAACATGTCAAAACATATGATAATGATGAGAGATTCAGTGATCCAGGAGTGTATACAGTTCCTTGAATGTTGTGAAAGTAAGTCTCTCTCTCTCTCTCTCTCTTGACTGATTATATGCTTGTCTCATAAATGTTCCGGGTACAGTACAGCTTGCACAAAATGCACACTTTTTATGCTTACTTTGTATCGATGTTAAAGCAAACTCCCAAATTTAAAGGAAACCACATGTACATTAGCAGATTTTAATTATTTGGCACATATTGTCATTTCCAATATGTTAGATTCCTATCTACATGTAATAGTTTATGTGTGCATATGATATTCTATAACATGACAGAAATTGGCAAACTGCCAGATGAACAAAAATTTCCAAAGATAAAATTTTGATTTTTATGACTCCATCCCTCAATGAACTACTTGATTTGGAAGTGGGATAAATGACCAGTTGTGTAAACCAGTTGTTTATCAAAGAAAATTTAAATTTTATGTAATACAAGTATGCTTTTGGTCTCGTTTGAAGAAAGTGAGTAAGTTGATCCTTTTCTTTTCCTTTTTTATCTAAAAAAACAAAGTACAGATTTAAAAATGTTGGCAATTCATTATTTATCTGGATACATTTTTGTTAACAATGATATGCCTTTATATCCATTATGGCTGTTTTACTTGATGTAAGTGAAAAGGTTGACATTGTAGAAATACAGATTGGCACTAATGCAAAGTCGACGATCAATTCATATGTAGTTGCCTAGAGTATAGGATTGACAAAATGGAATGCCTAGGGTACATAATGGAATTTTTTATTGTATATTTCAGTGTATGGACGGGAAGTTAAGGCTCTTATAGAGCAGCCCCTGGAAGCCGAGCCGATGCATCCTGGGAAAAATACAGTTACATATGAATCTCGACTCCTGAAGGGACTTCTACTACAGCTTATGTAAACTTAGGAAAGAAATAACATTTGAAATATCCATAGGTATAAAGATTCATAAAAAAAGATTATCCATTATGGCTGTTTTAGGGGAAAAAGTAACACTTGGAATATCCATACATATGAAAGATTTGTAAAAAAAAGATTAATGCAAAATTGACTATTGATTTCTTTTTAAACAGTAATTTTGTGTGATCAAATTCTCTTTTCATTAATTTCAGTAATCTGGATAACTTGTACTGGTTTGTGCTTCATTTGCCTCTTGTGTTAGATAAATGTAACCCAATTATTGTTCATCATATAAAACGTGATTAATATTAAGAAATTGACAAAAGAAATGATGAATATATTGTATATGAAACATTAATACCTATCAAGTTTAGTAATACAAACCTTTAAAATAAACCAATCAACTGAATGAAAAATAAACCAACTGATACTTGATACATCTGTTCATGTTAAATATATATCATACATTCACAAGAATTTAAAAAATTGTCAGTGCATTAAAATAAGCTAAATTTTAAAAATGGAATGTTTAAAAATTATCTTTTTTATAACTTATGTAAATTGTTGATTATTTGTGTGTTACTTAATGAAACATATTTTTTTTCTTTGATTTGTTAACAATCTAGTTCCGTCCACTTATAAAAGCTTGTTTATATATTATATTTATTATGAGTAACTTATTTTCTAATAAAATTGTTGGTTAAGCAAAAACTTTATGTAGTCTGTTTTTAGTTAGGCATTTAGAGACATATACAGAGAACTTGAAACTCGCACATCTGGTTGAGCGTTTTACTATAATCTGAGCACGATAAACAGAAGTTTCTTCATATCTATTTATAGGACGGAATAGTCCATCTTTATACTATATAGGTAAACTACATTTTGCACATTTTATTGATTGTACCTTTTACTGATAATTGTAAAAGTAAGTAACAAAAATTTCAATAACTCAGTCGGTAGAGCACTAAGTTCAGAAAGAAGCTACTCCTTGGCAGGAGGGTAACAAGCTTCAAAAAGATTTTCTGTTTTTTTTTTGTTTAGTTTATTTCCTCCTTCATGTACGAAACTACATAATGATAATTCGTTTTTAACTCGACTATTCGCAGAATAATCAAGCTAATGCAGTCACCAATTTGTCGACGTCGGCGTCCCTGTGGTTAAGTTTTTGTGTGTAAGCTGGTATCTCCATAACTACTGAAGGGAATGGATTGAAACTTCACACACTTGTTCTCTGTGATTATCTAAGATGATTGGCACAAGTCCCATAACTCTGATTCGCTTTTTTGCATAATTATGCCCCTTTTTCGACTTAGAAATTCTTGGTTAAGTTTTTGCGTGTAAGCTGGTATCTCCATAACTACTGAAGAGAATGGATTTAAACTTCACACTCTTGTTGTCTGTGATTATCTTAGATGATTGGCACAAGTCCCATAACTCTAATATGCTTTTTTACATAATTATGCCCCTTTTTCGACTTAGAAATTCTTGGTTAAGTTTTTGCGTTTAAGCTGGTATCTCCATAGCTACTGAAGGGAATGGATTGAAACTTCACACTCTTGTTGTCTGTGATTATCTTAGATGATTGGCACAAGTCCCATAACTCTGATTTGCTTTTTTGCATAATTATGCCCCTATTTTGACTTAGAAATTCTTGGTTAAGTTTTTGCGTGTAAGCTGGTGTCTCCATAACTACTAAAGGAAATGGATTGAAACTTCACACTCTTGTTGTCTGTGATTATCTAAGATGATTGGCACAAGTTCCTTAAGTCTGATTTACTTTTTTGCATAATTATGCCCATTTTTCGATTTAGAAATTCTAGGTAAATTTTTGCTTGTAAGCTGGTATCTCCATAACTACTGAAGGGTTTGTACCTTTTCTGACAATTTTATGTATTCATATAGGTAAGCATTATTATACTCAATGAAATGCCCTTGTGACAACTTTTGGAATAGTCGAGAGTTACTGTCCTCCGACAGTTCTTGTTTTTATTTGATTGATTTATTTATGTTACTTTTTAATCGAAGTATTTTCATTTTATTTATTCCCCTTTTATTTTTTTTTATTTTTTATTCTTCATTTCTAATTATAAATGTATGAATATTTTTACTAATTTTATGAGAGACAAAATACAATTTCGTTTAGTTTCTATGCATAATCATATATTTATTTTTTCAGGCAGAAAGTTATTAAAAAAAAGAATTAGAAATTTCAATAAAAAATGAAACTGTTTCCGCTAGGTTTCGAACCCACTAGCAGAATTCATAAGCTATAATTTAAAAGCGGTCTTACTTACTGTGCCTTTGTGCCAAAAAAAGATAGTATCTCATAAAATATAATTTGTATAACTTTAAAGGTAATTGTTTGGTTAATAACTTTCAGTTTACCTTTGTTTACCTGAGTTAATCTTTTAATGGACTGTGCTTGTATTTTTAGAACTGACGAAAGTTATGTTTATTGTGCTCGGACTATACTTTACCTGAACCCATTGTGTTTTTGTTTGAAATTTGGAAATCTTTTCACCGCCATCTTTAGTCATGGAGTCTCAACTCATGAATATGACATGATGATGGACCAGTTTTGTTTTAGTTGGAGTTTATAGTTTTATTCAACGTGACTTGTTCTGCATACTTTTGTATAACATCTGTGGTCAGACTTCAAATCACTTGCTCCTCATTGTTCCTTCCTTGTTAATAGCTATACTAGATAAGAGTTAAATCATATGTAAATATGTCAGTGCAATGTTGTTGGAAAAACAGAAAGTCAAATGATAAAATCATGATAAAAGTATATGTTCAGCAGAAGCGATAAGGGGAATAATACAGACCAATACAAGTCGAAGACTAAACTGCCTTTCCCTTACTGCTAAGATACTGTCTGTGGGTAAGGTTCACGCCGAAATGGCAGCTTACGATAGACTGTTTATTTCAGGAAAGGGTAAACTATATCGTTATATTGGGGCGGATTTTCAAAGTCCATGACAGCAAAATGAATTAAGAAAAAACCTCCATAAGTAGACGGACATTCCAAGATGGTTGAAGCAAAAGTCCAATGCAAGAGTTCTTCATCTTGAGAACTATTTAAATATGATAAACTGTAGGTAAGTGATTAAACACACGTATTTTGAGGAGGATCATAGTCACAGTTGAAAACTAAAGAAAGAATTTTGCATGTATTAGAAGCGCGAGATCAAATATGCATTTGCCCTTTATACACTTAAATTCCAGTGTCGACGGGCCTGAAAATCCAACAAAAACGAACAACACCAAACACACGTTAAATATGTCTACTATGTCTTCATTTTTCCACTTCTTTCACTTTCATCACAAATTTGTATAACTTGATAAAACAATAATCACAAAATTTAGATGCTTCACTGTTTATTTTAATGGCTCCGAATATAGTTTACAATTTGAAAACATACAAAAACCATAACATTGAATCAAATCGATTAATGCTGCATACATACAGATAAGTAAACAAATGAACTAAACGAATAAATGTGTATTTAATTGATCAGTGTCGCCAACTTCTGTCAGATATATTCTTATCACCATATTTCTGCCTAAGTAATTTGCTAGCTAGCAGTATAGTGCCACGCCAGTTTGCACATCCATGCAGTCTGTCTACGCTGACAAAATTCTATCTTGATATCCCCTTAATTGATTGTGAACAGTTCTAAAGGTGTAGGTTTTTGGTAAATACAATTTACAGTTTTCTTGTGTATTTTGACACACACACGGGTTAAGTACATAATCAAAAAAGCCAAAATTATTTTGGATGTGTATTTTTAACTATTTTTCTGATATTGTAATTGAGAACTTTTACCAAATTTTCGAATGGATTCAGGCGTATTGCTTAAATTTGTGTTGATTTAACAAGATTCGTATTTATCCATTCAAGTCGAGAACGGTTTAAAGACCTTCTATTTTTCAGATGATATTATAGCAAAAATATGATTGTTTGTGTGTAATAAAGTCACTTTCTTGCATCTCAGACAGGATTATCTACCGTTTACACCGGTGCTAGAAAACTCTGTCTTACACCCCCCATGTAAGACAAGTCGCGTGCTTTAAATGACGTCATTGACGCGCGCCTTTTATGAATGAATCGCGTTCTTAGGATGACGTCATTTTTCCGTTATGAATGAAGTTGTAAGTTCAAACGCTACTATAAGAAAAAAGTGCGTAATGAGAATATCAGTTTTCATAATTTCTGCTCCTAAATAATTGACATGTAATATGCAAGAAAAAGAATCAAACACCGGCTTTTGGTACAGACGGGAATATCTAGCTCTCGGGTAACTGTTTAGCGGAAACTCGGCAGAGCCTCGTTACCGCCGTAAACAGTTACCCTCGAGCTAGATATTCCGGTCTGTACCGGCAGCCGGTGTAAGATTCTTATATTGTCATCAAAATGTTGCCACTTTAAAAGTCATTTAATATATATAGAGGATAATGAATTAGTGAAAGTTTAGTACTGAATTTACTGAACGACTTGAATAGAAATGAACTTACACGAATTTAATATTCTACTTATCACATACCAAAATAAATACTGTCTGAAGTGATAAGAACCATTTTTCATTGACAAGCCCATAGAATACCGCGTCTAAACGCTTTTTATATAACGCAAAGGACGTCACGTCAAAATTTCTTGCATATCTGACAGGATTTTCTTGCAGCTCAGACAGGATTATCTACCGTTTACACCGGTGCTGTACATACCCCATTTAAGATAAGTCGCGTGCTTTAAATGACGTCATTGACGCGCGCCTTTTATGAATGAATCGCGTTCTTAGGATGACGTCATTTTTCCTTTATGAATGAAGTTGTATGTTCATACGCTACTATAAGAAAAATGTGCGTAATATATATATCAGTTTTCATAATTTCTGTTCCGAAAATAATTGACATGTAATAAGCAAGAAAAAGAATCAAACACCGGCTGTCGGTACAGACGGGAATATCTAGCTCTTGGGTAACTGTTTAGCGGAAACTCGGCAGAGCCTCGTTACCGCTGTAAACAGTTACCCTCGAGCTCGATATTCCGGTCTGTACAGGCAGCCGGTGTAAGATTCTTATAACCTACTGTTTACAGTATAAAATTCTTATAATATGCATCGTATCCACGGTCGTGCAATACCATTTTACTAGGTCGCAAAAGCAGCACGAGTGTGTGATAAAAGCTTGTATTTAACACAATATTATACGCCTCTTAATATGTATTAAGTGGTACATGTAGCATAGTACTAGACCTTTTGAGGTTAACATTTCTTTTGTAGGACGTTATTTGAGAGAAAGAGGTATGCACGTTCAAAAATTCGTTCAAATAATTCCCTCGCCATGTTACCGACCTATTCTTCGTGCCTGATAACAGTGGGTGTTACATTTTGATTTATTAAACTTGTACAATAATACCTCTGAATACCTCAGACGCCGAGCAATTGGTTTTAATGACTAGTGCGTAATCATCGTCGGATACCCACGATTGATAAACATGTCACATAACATGCAATCAACCGTGGGTAAAATGAATCGATTTGCGTCGATATACGGCAACAGGTGCGTAAAATATCTACCAATTACATCGCGTTTAACAAATCTATATTCTTCAACAGCGGAGGTAAATCAAAGCGCTGAAAGCACTGAAGTATTCGCTGCGCATTTATGCATATGTGTCTTACTTAAAACGTTGAAATTGTGAAGCATAAAGGAATATGGGCCACTGAATAACAGATTATTAATCTGGTGGTTGAATATTTTATTGAAAGAGGGAAAGAATTAAGAATAAACTAAATTAGAACAACTTTATTACATTATCTAATTGGTACAATAAAATATACATCCAAAAATATGAATGCATTCAGTACATTCATGACTAGATCCTTAACATGATAATGAATATATATCCAGTAGCAGTACCTAGAATACTATATTGCTACATAAGCTTCAAATGTAATGAAAGACAGATTACCTAGCTAAAGCATTTCAGTTTTCAACATGATGAAAAAGTGAAACTTGGAACATGTTAATTTCATGAAATTTGAGAAGAAAATATAGGTATTTTTGTAAAATACTTAAATTTTAAAAATTTCTGAGATTAAAAAATTACAAAAAAAACAAGTACTTTTAATATTTTTGCGTATTATACTTTTAAATGAGGATAATGCAATACACACAAGAGCACCGCTAGGCGGAGCATTATATGCCCGAAAGTGTTTGTTTTTTTAGTAAGGATGAAGCATTTGTAAGACATGGGAATTAGCTGTTCATTCCTTAAAATTTAACAGCTGTAGGTTGATTAATACTAAAGTTATTGAGCAAAAACTGTTTTCATTTTTAAGGTAATAGTGACTTTGACCTTTGACCTTGTGACCCCAAAATAAATAGGGGTCTTTTACCAAATATGGACAATCATCCTATGAAGTCTGAATATTGTGGGCCAAATGGAATGCTACGGAAACTGTTTTCAGACTTAAGGTAATAGTGACCTTTGACCTTGTGACCCAAAAATCAATAGGCGTCTTCTATCCAATATGCACAATCATCCTATGAAGTTTGAATATTGTGGGCCAAATGGAACTTAAGTTATGCTCTAGAACCTGTATTCAGTATAAAGGTAAAATTGACTTTGACCTTGTGACCCCGAAATCAATAGGGGTCTTCTACCCAATATGGACAATCATCTCATGAAGTTTGAATATTGTGGGTCAAATAGAACTTAAGTTATGCTCCTGAAACTATTTTCAGTTTTAAGGTAATAGTGACCTTGACCTTTGACCTTTTGACCGCAAAATCAATAGGGGTCTTATACCCAATATGGACAATAATCCTATGAAGTTTGAATATTCTGTGGCCAAATGGAATTTAAGTTATGCTCTGGAAACTGTTTTCAGTTTTAAGGTAATAGTGACCTTGACCTTTGACCTTTTGACCCCAAAATCAATAGGGGTCTTTTACCCAATATGGACAATCATCCTATGAAGTTTGAATATTATGGGCCAAGTGGAATTTAAGATATGCTTCGGAAACCAAATTGCTATGGGACGGACGCCAGGGGGTATAACATATTCTTGCATCTCAGACAGGATTATCTACCGTTTAGAACGGTGCTAGAAAACTCTGTCTTACACCCACCATGTAAGACAAGTCGCGTGTTTTATATGACGTCATTGATGTGCGCCTTTTATGTATGAATCGCGTTCTTAAGATGACGTCATTTTTCCGTTATGAATGAAGTTGTATGTTCATACGCTACTATAAGAAAAAAGTGCGTAATGAGAATATAAGTTTTCATTACTTCTGTTCCGAAAATAATTGACATGTAATATGCAAGAAAAAGAATCAAACACCGGCTCTTGGTACAGAGCCTCGTTACCGCTGTAAACAGTTACCCTCGAGCTAGATATTCCGAGCTACTTATTCCGGTCTGTACCGGTGTAAGACTCTAATAATATGCCCTTTCGGGCATATAACAAAATAGGACAGTTAGGGAAAAAGATGGTTGTAAGATTTAATCTTTTTTTAGCTACTGTGACCTTATCATGCAATAGACCAAATTAATTTAAAGCGTTCTTGCAAAGACACAAGAAATGAGAATTTTTGACGTTTTCAAACTGGACCAGTAGTTCAATATGACATTATTGAAATATGGATAACATATAGACAGGGAATCTTTGACTGTCTGTAATAGCTGAGCTATTGCTAATGTGAGCTAAAAATATTGAGAATACTGATGTCGAGGATGATTCAATAATATCCATATTTAAGAAAACACAGCTTTAAAACCAATCGCAATATTGATAAAAAAGTAAACAGTATATATTATATTATCTATGCCCCTGGTTAAAACATGATATCCCCAGAACCTTTTTACTCACAATAATAATACATGTAATTATAACAGCATTAATTAATAAGTACATCACCTTATCTAATAGTCTGAATCTTACACAATTTAATGTTGCATGACAAACTTTCTAATATAAAGCTTTGAATATTTCAGTTACTTCACACATAAGCAGTGTTCTTTTCTAATTAAAGCATATATACAAAACTTGCAAACATGAAAAGAAAATTTGGTCATGATAAGTTTACCTCATGTATAAAATTGCAACTTGCTTGCAATTTAAGTAATTTTATTTTAAGATTCTTATGCTAGAAAGTATGGTGATTGCTCAATTTTTAGTCATTTGTTGAAAACATTTTCATTAATCGGAAACACACTGTATAAATGGCTTGGTACTAAACATATCAATTGTGAAATTTCTTTTAATAAGAATATTACTTACTGATAAATGTTCACAAAATTGCAAATACAATGTAAATATAAAAACAATGCTACATAATTAAGGTATTAACAAGTTATATAATGATTAAGACAATGGATTGAAATGATAGAGAAACAAGCAAATGTAATATGAACATAAAAAATTATATACATGTAACACTATTGACCATTAGAAACAATTAAATCAACAAATGTGATAATTATTATGCATTTAATTAAATGACAATTTCTAATAAAGGGATGTACAGGTTTGTTTTGCATATGTTATCAGTTAAGAACAACTTAAGCATGTAAATAAAAAGTACTGGGAACATGGTATTTTAAAGGTATTATACAGTAGATTTCAACAATAATAAATGAATGATTTCAAAATTAAAAAAAAAAAAAAATTGGTCAAAGACAGACAAAGCCGGGTTGCATTTCTATACCAAATATCATGATGCTGTAATGCTATGAAAAAAATTTACCACTGACCATTAATGTGGAAAATTTAACTAAGTCAGTTAATAGGAAGTGGATGAGTTCGAATCTCACATTATGAGACCATGTGTAAATGCCGTTTGCCAAATATCAAGAGGCTGTGATATGTAGTTGCTAAAAAAACTGTAACGAAAATTTCCTACCATTGACCATTAATGTTGAAAATTTAACGGTAAACAGGGCGTGGTGAGCGACAGACCTGAAATCAAATCCGACCCTATGGGACAACGTCAATGCTGTATGCCAAATATCAAGAGGATGAGATATGTTGGTATGGAAGACAATACTATGAAAGAAAATCAATTATGTATTAAGTTATAGTAAAAAATAACATTTGTTTACATAAATTACATAATTAAGTTCAAGGGGGGGGGGGGGGTAATTCTGGAAATGCTAGAGTTATGAACCTTGTCACACAATATATGTGTAATGATAAGAAATATATATTTGAAGTTTGAAGTAGATACCTTTAAAAGTAAATTAATTATAATATTTCTTTTAAAAAAATCCTAAGTTCAAAGGGATATAAACCTGAAAATATTGCTTCACAGACGCCGACACCAACACTGACGCTCTGGTGACAACAATAGCTCTACTTATTCTTATCGAATAGTCAAGCTAAAAATAACATATTTTAAGGAAAATTCTATGTTCAGGGGGAGATAAACTTGAAAATATTGATGCTAGAGTAATGAACCTTGTCATATAAAGATGTGGTTGATGATATGGAACATAATATTTGAAGTATGAAGTTCATCCCTTAAGAAATAAAGAAGTAACAGTAAAAAATAATATTTTTTAAGGAAAATTCTAAGTTCAAGGGGAAAAAAATCTGAAAATAGTGGTGCTAAAGTTATGAACCTTGTCACATGTGGTTGATAAGGAAAACCAAAACTTTAATCTGAAATAAGGACGCGGACGCCAAGGCGAGTAGGACGGCTCTCCATATACTTTGTATAGTCTAGCTTAAAATGAAAAGAAAGGAAGTGTTTTATGCAGTAAACATTAATATAAATATAAAAGTGATACGGCACTTTTTGTACTAAGAAGCGAGGAATGATATGTTATCTTTTCTTGCATTCTAAATCTATAGTAAATGATATTAATACCGATACCCTTCTTGCCTGTATGGTATTATACCTAACAATATTGCTTTAGCAATGATGTTCCAGAGTTTTCACATGTTGGTTTACACACAACACCTATACATATATCTATTATAATACATATAAACATAAAACTTTATGCTTTAAACAAAAAAAATAGAACCTTTTACAACATTACCATTAGACAGGATTAATTTTGACCCCACCGGTCAACCCAGGGACACTACTGAAGTTTTGTATGTAAATGATAAGCAGACTGGAAATCTATTCACCAGACAATCTATTTTCCTTTTTCGAATTTTTCCATGAATATGTGACCATAAGGCTTGGAAATTTTTTAACAACATAGCAATAATCTGAGGTATCCAATGCATTTCTTCGCATAATTTCAGCTAGAAACTTTTTAAAAGGAAGTTTTTTACATATTTCCAATACAATTTAGGTGAAACATGTAGGTCCATTCAGGGTTACCATTAAGATCCAAAATTTGGAAGTCAAAGACTGCAAAATGTCTTGACATTGGAAGTCACAAAATATTGGTATAGAAGAAAAAAGCATTACATTTTGGAAGTTACAAGCCAAATTCAAGGAGTAAATGACTCCCAAACTTCCATTAATGGAAGCCCTGCCATTACAAGTATGAAAATGGTAGCCTGGTGTTCATTTACAAAAAGTGTTTATACCTTGATCATTCAAACAAAAAGTTTTTCCAAAAATTATGTATTTCTCTTCTAAACAAACAACTTTGCACAGTTCAACTCTATTTATTTATGATAAAATCTTACAGTTCACATATATTCGTCTTACATGTCCACAGATATATATACAATGGATAGGAAGCTCAGAAAATAGTTGATCCACAATCCATTGTGCGCTTCGGTGATAATCCTGTTTTCCCGCTAGTCTCTGATTCTCGCACTCTCGTTAAACTTCCGGGATTCATGAATTACTGTTTACATTGCCGACATTGTTTTTTTAAGGAAATATCTGTGTGGAAAAGTGTATATGGTACGTTTGAACATAAATACATGTAACTATTGCGTCTTTATATAAGTATAAAATGCTTCGTCTTTCTTTGTCAATGTACCTCTGGAAATTCAATATGGCGGTATTTTGGCTACTTTTACCCAGGATGCATCAAATCTTGGAAAATCCCGTTACATATGATAACTTGCGTTAAAACAACCCCATTGATACTGAATTTAACTGTGTGACGTCTCAGTTTCTTCTCCATCTATATTAGGCTCCATGACATGTCCAATCAATCAGTAAATCAATAAGTTGATTGATCATTAGAACATTCAATCAACAATCATCAATCAGAGAATGAATCATCGAGTAAATGAAATCGAGGAAATCAACACTCTGAAAGTAAACAAATAACATCAACATAAAAATAGAGTTAAATCAATTTCCTATGTCTGAAATGCATAATTATCATAAAAAACATCCAAATTTATGATCAATTACAATAAACCCATTAACACTTTCGATATGATCTACACAAATAACCGAGGTATATCGAGTGAAAAAATACGAGTTGCTTCCCTTATCTTCGAGTAAAATTGATATCTCTTATGCTAAAACAAAACAAAATTTGCCGTTTTTTAACCGCAAGTTTGTTATGATTTAATGTCCGATTTTAAAATGTATTACACCAATAGAAAACACTGGATCTTAGCTTCGTCACAGTATATTTTTCAACATTTCTTTTGACTCCAAAGTCTTTAAATGAACTGTTAAACCTACCACATGTCAGACCATTATACATACGATTTATACAGTGAGAAAACAACCTATTATCTTTATTCTTAAAACTACTGATAAGAAAGAAAAGCCTCTCCTCTGCTAGTTCTGAAAGTGTTTATCGGTGTATAATTTTACTATTACTTATTAGATATTTACAACACATTGAACAGCTTACTTATACTGAAGGTATATGAACATATAATACGCGGAAAGTCCGAGCGAGGCCGAAGGCTCCGCGAGGGCTGTAGCTCTCTTAGATAACATGTATGACGCGTATCAATTGAAATGAAATCAAATTAAAACTAAATGAAAATTTCAAAAAGATAAATATCCTATACCTAATGAGCTGTGAAAAAATCCTAAGTTAACAGGGCGCCGCCAGTTTGAAATCCTTTTGAGCTAAATATAGATATCAGAGTGCTTTTAATGAGCGTCTACATAATTCAGACTATTGCTAGCAGACGCATGCTAAGTTACACTTCCGGTGAAAGAATTATGTAAAAAATCAGAAACTAAACCTACATTTCATTGATACGATAATAAATATAAAAAGTTACTTTAACATATCATTTAAGTTTTTGATAAATAAGCACATTAAAAATAACGTTCAAACCAAAACTGTGATTAGAGATTAACAAAAATGGCGGACGGGATTTTCCAAACGCCGACGCATGCGCATTGGTTCCCCTTTACGTTCGGAGATTGCTCCAATGATAGGTTGAACACGACCAAATTATTCGTTTTGCTAATGGTAAGAAAGATATGGTTTACATGTACACTAAACATGTTATACTTAAATCATAATTCATAAGATCTTTCCGCGCCATACTAGGTAGCACCTAATTTCATATTATAGCTATATGCTTTCTTTTGGCAGTCACAATCATCAGTTCATTTAATGAAGTTAATATAAGATACATTATAATCATAAATAAATTCTAAACTTACCAGTTCGTGGAACTAAATGTACCAATAATAACATTATCTTCTTCAAACACACATACTGTCAAACTCTCTCTCTGCTGTAACTTCTGCAAAATATAATAAACACAATGTGCAAAGTGATAGGAATGAAATGTGTGATTAAGTTGATAGAGAGCTAGATTAACTGCTTTTTCTGAAAACAATTCTTAAAGGTTCCAAATCACGAAAACTGATGACATTTCAAATCAGACCACAATCATTACTTAATTAAAAACAAATCTATGACATACACTCTTTAAAACACTAATTTAAACCAAATGCAACTCAAAATAATACTGACCAACTATCAATAATCCATATTTCCAATAAATTAAGAACACTTTGAACTTTTTACAAACAAAGCCGCTTAAACATAGACAAAACTAGTGATATTGCGGGAAACCAAGGGAAACAACTCAAACAACAAAAAATATATCAAGACACCCGAATTATCAACACTGTTACACATCATGAAATCCAAATAAGAATTCCAAAACAGAATACATTAAGTTCAAATAATATTGGTAAGTTTTCTGTACCTACTTTTAGAAAATGATGAGATCAGCTTTCACATACAAAAATAGCGTCGAAAACTTTGTTTTGGTACGAACTACTTCCTTACTCAAAGTTAACGCGAATGAATACTAATGATACTTTTTACTGATTATATCCTGAAAACATGCAAATAATATACGATAGAAATAACACAATCAAAAATGAACTACTGACAATTCAAAATCTTATCACTTGTGTGTGACAAGAAAATCTGTGTAGAACTACTTTGCGTTGTTAGGTACCCATTCTTATATTGAAATCCCGCAAATTGTGATAGAACTGTATTCACTGCTAACGCAGCGAATACAAAAACAATAAGAAACAAAATGGCAGCGCCCACGGTTAAAAACTGTTGTACGTGTCTTGCTAAAATCAATGGCAAAAACTATCGCCAAATCAGTTCTTCTGCAAGCAAATATCAATCAGAAAGGAAAACATCACGCTGTGAAAGTAAATTATCTATACTTTCTTGCTGGAAATCGTTTAATTTTTCGATGTTGAATTTTTCATATTGTCTGTAATACCGAACGTCGTACAGAACGAGCGTTTTGATTGGTTTTAATCGCCTCATGAAATTGTGAGGCAGCCAATGAAATAGCTGCCTTTGACACACCTCTAATCGACTGAATATCGGCAAAAAATCCCACGGCTGATAAATGTTAATGGTTCGGCCGTGGGTATCCGACGATGGTGCGTAATAAGAGGTTGCGTTAACTTGGTCATAGGTACCCCTTAAACAAATATTATTTTTCACAAAATGTTAAGACTCGATAGTTTAAAGAAATGTAACAAAATAAACGCGAACGTCGTGCTTATTAGTATACTGCGAAAATTTGTAACACATATAAGAAAGGTAACTCGTGGCTTTACATTTCTGCATGCATATGTAAACTTTCAGAAAGAAATATCTGATTATATGTGTCAACACTATATAGTGATATCTGGTGAAATTTATTTATTGTATGTGTTTTTGACGTTCTTCCCATATGACGAACTTAGCCTGAAAATAAGAAAAAATATATATTTATATTTATAATGATGAAAATAATATTCAGTAATGTCCTTGCGTCAATAAAAAAGTAACAACCGATCATTTTATTATTAATTGTACTGTATACTGTATAAAGATTAAACCTTTACATCCTTTCAAGTTAAACAATGGTATTATAAAATGATGATCTAATTAAAACATTATAACACATTCAAAGGCCACGAAAATATAGATCCAATTAAAACATTATATTAACAAAGGTCACGTATTACGAAACATAGGCCTACATAGACAAAGAATTCGTTTTCAATTTCCTTTGTTAGTTTCAAAACTATTTGCAAATGAAGTAGTTGACTGTATCTGTATTTTCAGTGTACTTTATATATATAACTTTGACCCTATAGTGGGTCCAAAAGAAAGTCCGCATAATAGTGCTAAATACCAAGTTTAAATATTCACTTTTTTGCAAATTGAAAAAATACTATTTCGTGTATTATGTGTATAATTGGTATATGCACTGGTTTACTTGAAGGGAAATACTTTTTTCTTTGAAGAAATTTGGTATTTTGTCTTTGTCAGTGAGTCTATTGTAATTACTTATATCGTAAAATATTCCAAATAATATACACCCTAACTGAAAAGCATTCCAATGTCGTGCAACTTCATTTGTGTATCACAAGGATTTATTTACAATGAAAGTAACTGTCTTTACTCATTTGTGCTCCAGGACTGATATCGAGAATGAATAGTTTTTACCGATGATAATTTGTCCTGTTGGATTATTTGTCGTCTGCGTACAATTACCGTTACAGAAGTCGTCTGTGCAGCATGCCGAACATACTGGCGTAGAGCGTCGTAGTCGTCTGGGTACACTCGACCTTCTCATCGGTGTGCACTGTGTCAGAAAGAAAACAGAAAAAAACATCTAACAAGCATTATTTTCAATTATAGAACATTTTGGAAAATAAAATGTAAAATGTTTCTTAATAATGCAACATTGACAAATTAGCCTAGTATTCAATATTTTTTTTTTATCATTGCATCTATTACCTCCAGCAGGTGAGGCATTTTTGACCCAAGGTGTTGTTTCTAAGTTTGTTACACCCAAAGTTAGCACAAACCATCTTTCCCATTTCGGCGCCGTATAATCTAAACTGTGTTGGTGCGCCGTAAAACCAAACAAAGAAAGTTATGCATACATCACATGCCCAACAGAAAGAAAATCTGTATCACATACGTAATGTGATCCAGAATGACTTTGCTGACGTACATATATACAAACTACGCTTTAGTTGCTTATATAATTTAAATTCGGAAAGGTTTTTATAAAATGGTTATAATAAGAGTATCTTGATATATAATTTTTATTTAACTCTCATTTATTTTTAAATTACTAGAACGGATCACACTTATCGCTACCGCGCCTTACGTACGATACCCTTGCCCAGTGCAATCCACCTGAGTCCAATCCATCAAGAAACTCATATTTTATTGCTATTGTAATTGAAAGTTTTGCTTGGAATTACAGAATATGGGATTAAGTGAATACTTTTTGGTAGGTCAATCCTTGGTTAGAACATATAGCAACACCATAAGAATTACCAGTTTGTGTGTACATCCCATTTTGTAATGAAAATCGTTTCCCCATCTGTACTTCTCAATGCTGCAAACCTACGTATATAAAATATATACAAAACAATGTACATTAGTTAAAATGTTAAAACATTTTGAGTTCGACATTCTTATCAATATAGCCAGCATAGGAAATATTTCGCATTTATTGTTTGAGCAAATCTAAGTACACGTAGTTGCATAGCTGCTTTATCAAAACCATAAACTTTCAACTAACCGTTAATATGACAAAAACATTTTCATGCAAGGATTTTTTAAATGATGCTCTTGCCTATCTGGTAATATTTTGAAATATAAAGTAAGAAAAAATGTTAATCTGGATTTAGTATACCAACCTCGTCGGGTCCGCACATTGTGACTTTCATACAGAGGTCAGTGTCATTCAAAATATGTTGACAGTCATAACACATAGGCCCTCGGTTTTGGCGGTCAGGAAATCCTAAACGACATACAGCAATTACTTTTGTTTTTGTTTAAGCAATTTGTGTTAAATTATCTAGATAAAATTGTTTTGCAAGGAAGAGCTTCTGAATCACCCTTTACCGTTTTAATTGAAGTCAACTAATAGAACGAACGAATAAGCTAGAAGTCGGGAAATCGGTGTACATACCATAACAGTTCAATGTCACTTCCCCACAGTGCTCCGTTTTTTTTTTGTTTGTTCATACAAAATCAGTTAAAGACCGTGAAATGATGGACTGTTTGAAAACTGATCTAAATATTATAAGTCTCTATAGACCAAGTTTGTTACAATATCTTAAAATATTAATTATGCCATTTAATATGAAAAATTTGTTTCATATTTTAACTGTATTCACATGGCTCAAGCAGTAACCGAGCTAAAGATGATATGAATTCACTTACTGTCATCACCGCATCCTTTGTTGTTACAATAATTACCATGGCAACACTCTAAACAGACACCGCTTGACGACGTGGTATTCTGACATTGCTATAAAAATGCATAGATATATATATTTCCGATGCCCCACTGGGCGCTTTTCGGTTGTTCTGTGTTACCGGATATTGCAGGGGTTGCGTACAGTGATGTTTTCCTCTTTTTGATATATTGTCTCACATTGTTTACATTGTATGAGTTAAATACAAGCAGACCAAACTGAGCTTAAGAAAGATCTTATCTTATTAATACTATTTTTGACTTTAATGAGAATCCAAAATGATTTAATACAGTGCCAGATTTTCTCTCATTATCATAGATATAGACATAGACACTATGTATCTCTCACTAAAAATAAAACAAAACAAAACATTTTTTACTTACTTCCTTTGGCATACATCCTGATTTGTAGAAATAGCCTGTCCTTGATGCATACTTCTCAGCAAAACAAATCTGTGAAAACGATAAAAATGGAGTTAGATAAAGAAACATTTACGTTCAATTTGATTGTATAGACCTATGCATCTCGGCTCTTTTCATGATAACCTCGGACTTAATACGGATTGAATCACTATTAGTATTTTAGCGAAGGTCATCCAAATTACTATTTGTTTACATGTTTGTTTCTTATAGTTGGTTTTGTTGTCGAGATTCTTATCCAAGTTTGACGAAAAGAGCCGGGAAGATGAGATTGAAACATATAATATTCTGTCAATCAACATTGCGGCATCGTGGATTCCATGCATGAATTCGCTTTTTTTTCCAACAGGAAACATGAGAGAAGAATACCCGAATCTCTTATTCTTCAATTAAACATCATTTGAGGTCTGATCACCAGTTTTACTATAAAGTTGTGACAATCCTTAAACAACATTAACAAATAATCATCATTAGATTAAGCCTAGTTTTAAAATCATTAAAAATCCATATACTGATACATTGTCATATTTTGAATAGAAATGAAAAGAAACCATTTGGTAATCATCAAATTGACGATTCTTTGGTTAAGGAGATAATGTTTTAAAAGGAATTATATAAAGTATTAATTTAGGGCGCATTTCTCTGTTTTGTTTATGTGTGCTTTAGTTTAAACAATATTTATTTCTATTCACACAACATATAGATATATAAAGTAAGCAAATAGATTTCGTGGATTGGAAAACAAGTCTAATGTGACAAATGTAAATTCCTTTTTTAACACATAAGGTACTTGCAATAAAAAAAATATGCACATACTTGGTAAGAATAATACAGAAAAATGCAAATCAGAAAAATAATTTAAATGAGGAAATTTGTTAGAACATTATTATCTAGAGTAGTAGAACAAAAAACTTTCTATACCAAAAGTAAATTTTTTTTTAACTAGTATTCAATTTAAGTTAATTTTTCAAATGATTTTATATAGAATGTTTCGAAGAAAAAGAGACAAAAATATTTAAATAAAGTTTTGAATTAAGATAAAGAATAGAGAATATATGTCTGCACACAATATTATCGGGAAATGATGGACAGGAAAAAGTTGATATTAGTTGGTCAAACGTTTGAAAGCTAGGATAACTGTTGAAATTATTTTTCGTTCGTGTTAAAGTCTCTGTACAAGAGATTGTTAAGTGTCAGGGGACATGGAAGGGGACGTAAATGCATGTTTCTAATGATATCATAACGAAGGCATATCCTTTGTACCAACTGTATCAAATTTCAATTCAGATATTCACTTTACCTTTTTAATTATGACTTGTAGCATCTATGATAAAAATAAATCACCTTTTCATTAATTGACATATGAAAGAATATTCCATTAGATCACGGATCTGGAGTTAATTTTTTTTTTACTTACCTGGGCATCCGAGCAGGTTTTGACAGCATCGCAAACTTCTAAACTGGACATTTCGTCACAGTGGTAGCATCTAAGTTTATTCGGAGGTGAAATTTTAGTCTCTATAAACAATGCAATATTTCAGAAATAAGAATATAAACATTTTTAAACACTTTTACGGAAATGATCTTACATAAATTGCCATGCCGTATACATTGTATATATGCGTAAACTGAAGTGTTATAAATAGATACTGTAGCTACTTTCATAGACGAGCTTGATATAGCAAAATTGGGTATTGGTACAATCACTCACTTCTCTTTCTGTTTGTACATTGCTTTTCTTTCAATTCATTAATTCAATCGGCAGTAGTTAAGATAAAAACGAGATATACATTTCTTGAAGAAATAAAATGATACTGAATTCTATGGTAAAACTGCTCAATCGGTCTAATCTTAACATCATGTACACTTAAACTCATTTTAGAATACATTTGGTCGTTCAGTAACATGAAGAAACGAATGTTGCGTTCACAGTTTTATAAAAATATATTGATACAAATATTTCCATACGTTACCGTCTTTAAAACTGAACCCTAGTGGTGTGCCGTAACCCGCAATTGCCCAATAACCATACATGAATGCTCCAAATTCAGCTGTAGGATCACTGTTGTTTAATATGTGGTAACCCGTACTGATGGTAGTTACCAGCACAACATAATGGTCAAGAGGCCTGCTCACTGTGTAATTGTAGGCAGCTTGAAAAGCCCTTCCATCTAGTCTTAAACCAGACACATCGGACTTCTTAATTATCACTGTCACATAGTTACGAAAAGAAGAATATACCGGCGGAACGACAAAATTGTACTTGGTCAGAAAATTCTGTATTCCAGGGATCACTGTCATAAAAGGACCACTGTCTATGTCATCAATACTTTGACTCATACCATATTGTGTCACACTGAATGTTGATGAATCATTTGTATACACAACTGTTGGTTCTGATCCAAGACGAAATTCCTTGTATGAGTTCTGTACCATGTGTTGACATGATTTTTTAGTGCTGTTTTGTACACACATATATAATGAATCGAGCGTCTGTATTCGTGCCAAATAACCACTTTTAGGTGGCAGAGGTGGAATTATGTAGATATTTGTCCACATGCTAACTGGAATCATTTGCTCAATAATGTTATCACAATCATTAACACCTGCTGGTATATTTGAACAAGAAGTGCCTGATATTACAGATACAGGCTTTGTTGCAGACACGACCATCCCAGTTTGGTCAGACCTACTCTGAGTTTGTAAAACATAAAATTTGTCCAAAGTCACTAAACCTTGGTGATTTGTATTTATTGTTGTGTTTGGAAATGAACTTACAATTGCAGTTGCGGAAATAAACCCCCGCTCTGGCTGATAAGAAGCTATTACATATTTTTTACCGAGGGAGTTTGTCGGTAATGCCAGAAATGTGTCTGGGGAGGAGCTTAAGAAACTAGTGACAAATATAGCAACAGGCACGTTGGTTTTAATCTGTATCGCTCGTTCCTCGCTGAAGTTTCCTTTCTTTACAATAGATTTACTAATGCTTAATGTCGTATGTCCAACTCTCAGTGTCTCTGTACGATTCATATTTAAATAAGGAACATACAATTGTAAAGATCCACTAGAATCTGAGGCAATATCAATTGTAATGTTAGATTCAGCATAATTTGGAGTCATACTAAACATGAACTCTGTACCGTAATGACCTGAATTATAAATATTCAACAGTTAAAATAAAAAAAGTCAAAGTGGATTCTGTTACAATGTTAGGTTTGCCTTATTTATAAAAATGAAAAGTAAAAAGTATTAGTCGTGGTATGGAAAGCAAGTCTGTTTTGATTTAGATATTATAGTGTAAGAAAAAACTATAGTGTTACCTTATGTTGTCCATAACTATAGTTAGAGGAAAAGAAGTATTGAAATGAAATTTTCTTAAATAAAAACAGTAATTGATTAACTTACTTTTGACAGTTAGTTCACAATTCATCATGCACATGATCTGTAGTGTATAAATATATAAAGCGTTAGTAAAGTAACTCAATTAAAACAGTTGCTGCTTGATTATAGAGGTCTTCTTTAATAAATATTTATTAAACATTGTATTGTCCGACATGTGCTACTTTCTGTATGTAATATGTTTTGATTAGATAAAATTTGAAATACATCCGAATTGCTAATGGAATTATCAAATATATGCGTTTGTCAACGGTCACATACATAATCTTTTGTATATTATGATTATTATTTATATAAAAGAATTGTTAATAGTAGTGACGCACGCACGCGCATTGTACACAATGAAACTAAAATAATTCCGAATAAATAAAAATTATGTACTGGTAGATTCTATATGAAAGTTGGTTCATTATACACTCAATATAAGCAACGAGGAATTAGAAAATATTTATTAAGTGTACAGTTATACTAAATTTATTGTACGAGTTAAATAATATTGTTTTATTCAACGAGTTTAATAACTTCAGCTTTGAATCTACACTAATAGCACAATACAACACAACATAAACACACAAAAACGAAGCAAAACAGAACTTACTTGAATAAGTACGAAGCAATGAATTATAGTATTTCGCTTCATCATTGCTTGCTTTTCGACAAGTATCCTAGTTTACAGTAAGGAGTTAAATGTAGATTTTTAACGTTTTAAACATCGAAAGCATATATCTCTTATCACCGTGTCATGTAGTTATGCTGTATCTCCCAACACAGGTATGAACTACCCCCCCCCCTCTCACCGCCAAGTATGCAATGAAACACAACACCCAGAGCATGGCCATCTAAAGCAACATGCCTCTAGATTTTTGTCTTTTTTATGAAATTTTGAAAATGTATTAGATTCTAAAAAGTAAAATATTTTAAAGTGAACAAAGAAGATATTTTTGATAAATTGCAAAGGGCGCTTCCAATCCATGTATATAACCAAATTGATGTCAAAATATGCGAAATATTGCCCTTAGCAGTAGAAATATGGTGATAAATAATGCAAACAATCAGACATTCATTGCATATCATATATATATTATTACTTGAATTGTTAATATTTTAACTTTCTTAAAATTAGTAATACATTTTTCTTAAGATTGGTTTTCTTTAATTTTGTGGCGCATCTGGAGGCATGCAGCTTCTAACATAAAGTGCACCGTTAGTTCTATATCACAACTGTGTAAGGCATTGCCATGAGATGCATGTACATATAATCAAACTTCACACTCCTTATTTAAGTAAATATCAATGTGAGAATATTCTGTAATTACTGTTTATGTACATAAAGGGAGAAAATATGGATAGTTTTTTTTCTTCTTCAGCTTCAGAATTGTGCAATAACATGGTAAAACGTAACTTAAACATGATGAAAAAATCAAACATAAAATTATGTATGAGAAATGAAACCACCTTAATTACATTATACTTAATCTCATATTTCCATTGTGGTTCTTTGGTACTCTTGACGGAATTGACATAGATGCATGAAATGGAATGTCACAGTATTAAAAACACCTAAGGAATACAAAAAGTATACAAAGACGTTTTGGAAAAAAAAACTAGAATTAAAAACAAGAGGATAAGCATCATTAAAAGAGATAATTTTATATAATGAAAAGAATTTGTGAATGACTAAAATATACAAATTAGTTTCGTTACTTATAGAATTGGGTAGTTTATTCCACAGGACACAGCCATTGTTGTCAAATGATTTTGCACCACAACCGTAACTCCAGATAAAATGATAATAACAATATCAAAAAAAAAAAAAAATAATAATAATAACAATAACAACTATTTTCACTTGACCTAGTACTATAAATAGATAGAGTCTAAGGGAGCACAATTCGCACTCATATATCTATAGAGACTATTGATATATGAATACTTCGGTTCTACTAAACAGATTAGTAAAAATCTAATTGTCGATCCGAGAGTTACATACTTCACTGGTATTAAGCATTTTGATTATCTCGATTTGATAAATTGAAAGCTGTTAACATGCAATTTAGATAAATTGCAAACTGTTTATAAATATATAACTTCAAATTTGCGACATGTAGAAATGTAAACGATAGAACGTACACAATACGTTTAATGCTATGCATCATGACGTTGAGAATGTAACTGCATCAACTTGACACACTCAGGTTTACAACACCACACTTTCGTTTTACAATCTAACGCGATTAACATTTGTAAACGATTTTGCAACTTCCATATATGGAATTATCACGGAAATAGACGAAAAATTAAAGGCGGAGCCAATTTCACGAAAGCAGAATATAAAGAGAGGTAACTCTCGCTGGTACAAAAATATTTCAAATTATATAGAAACTGTTACATCAATCTTGACTTTGAACATCATCTGATTTTGTTAAAACGTATTCTAGTACAGGATATCCAAGTAATGAAAAATTGGTTAAGATATAATGTAAAAATATAAAAACAACGTATATAATGATAATGGGCATAATAATATGCAAAAACTAAAGTTGGTGAAATAACATAAGGAAATGTTTCCCATATATACTGACACACACCATTATCATTGATAACAATGGTAGGGTTTTGTGAGCCACGGCAATACTGTTAAGCAAATTTTTTTTTTACCTTCAGCAAATAGTACTATAATGCGATGCATGGAATGCACTTTTGGCAACACAAACTGAACAATAAGCATGTGCCTTCTTTCTTTAAAGGACTATGTTGGGTTGTAGAAAAACTCATATTTTTGACCAAGTGTATAACCACGAAACAATGCAAAGTTTACTATCGATAATTCCGTTGTATAACCAAAACTTGTGAATTTGTCCCATTTTAAGGTTGAAATAAATATTCAGTGTATCCTGCCAACTCTGTTTACCTCCATTGGGAGGTATTTTGAGTCATAGGATGTTATTTAGCCTTTTATTGTTAAATATATATATGTAAGCTGGCGTAGGTTAAGGTCTTTTTATGCATTGTGCTGAATCAATAGGACCTCTAAAATATGTGTAAACATGCTGTCATTAGCTGTTACCTAGATTTGCTGTCTAGATTTGCTGTCTATATGATCAAAAACAGAGAACTACTTTTATGTACATGAAATACTACACAGAATATTTATTAAGTTTTGTAAGTGATGGCTTTCTATGAGATAAAATAAACAAGGTATACATAAATTGATAATCAACATACATACATTTGGACTCATTTAAATTAAACAAAATGGGAAAAATGGGAAAATATATGGTAAAAATAAAAAGTTATGTACGAAAAAGTACATACAACTTTGGTTATAATTTTACTATTGTTAAAAGTTTTTTTCTTGTCAAGTCATACGCTAGAATTAAAGTTACTAATATAATAGTACTACTAGGAAAGACAACAGCCAGACTTTGGTCTGTATTAGTAATTAGTCGTATAAAAATCTCTATCAGATGTTGACTTGAAAATTTGAAAGTGGTAAGGTAGCAGCTTAACTGTAAATGTTACTCATTCCTATGCAAATTGGAATACCATCAGTAAAATTTATTTGTCGTTGAATATAGTCTTTTCAATAGTTTTTACTTCCTTGAAAAATATTTAACCTCAGACAGTATGTAACCTGGTGTTTTTGGTTTTTTTTTTAAGTTTCTTTTTCCAGAAAATGTGGTGTCTACAACGTTTTAAAACTTATATGCCTATATTCCTTTAAAGTCCGCTGATGTTGTTTGTAGGCAATCATGCAAGTGAATTATGTTTAGTAAAGGTATGATAAACGGAAACTACGCCGCTTCTTGTCGCCGACGGTAAATACCGAAAATGAGCGGAAAATACGTTTATTTACGATGATTTAGTGGGCGGGGAAATGGGCGGAGCTTATTTTATCTCCTATTGAAAAACGTGTAAAGCTGGATTATGCTGATCTGTGTAAAGCTAAGAATGTTACTTCTGTTTTGAGAATTCGAACACTTGGTATTGCTACTATCAGTTCATGTTTTGTCGTTTAACAAAATGTATTTTGTTGAAATGCATGTTTACAATGTTAAATCGGCAAACTCAATCCAAGTATGCAACATTGGAGTTTACATACAAAGAAATACAATTGTATTTTTCCATTAACAAACTGTTCAACTCAGATCAACAAGGCTGGATTTTTGGCAACGAATAGCCTCCATATATATCTAGTATAACCTTAAAACGTTCATTGTCAATAATAATATAATATATGGCCAATATTAATTGCGAAACAAATAACCAGGTTATTTATTCTGCATGGCTAGTGTTACAGAAATTTCTTAACTATGAGAAATAAATAAATAAATAAATAAATAAATAAATAAATAAATAAATAATATTAATAATAATAATAATAATAATAATAATAATAATAATAATAATAATAATCCATTGTAGCACCTAGTTATTCAACTTTGACTTAAAGCACATGCATGGGTTTCTAATTTTAGCAACAGTAACCTTGACCTACATAGCGAAGTCTGCCTACGCTACTTTTTAAACAAAATTGATTACAATACCTTATTCCTAGCTCATTCCTTACTCTAGTTATTATCTGAATCTACTTTACAGACGACTGTATACCAGCTCTTTTCCGCTGGCTTTAAGCTCAATTGAGTTTTTTACATGACGGGACTGGAAATATTTTCCCGAGATTTCGGTTCCGTTTGATGCAAGTCTGGACCAATAACTGGCTTGGAAAGTTTTAGATTATTCCTTCATCTCGTTTTTTTTTCAGAATAATCATTTTATTGGCATTTAAATTATCCAAAAATGAAAAGTGTTGCACCGCCTTTGACTCGAATTGGGCTAATAACCTCACAAATAAGCTCTGAGTATATTTCTTGATTACCCTTTGCGGATAGATTGATCACTTGATTTATGTCAGAACGTTTCACAATTTTATGTGTTTAGGCTTTTTGACATCAGTTAGGCTCCTGTAACAGATGCACCTGTTTTTAACATTGGCTGTGAGTCAAATAATATTGTCTCTGTTTTACATAAATTTTTGAAAATATTGTTTATTGTTAATTTACCATTGACTGACAGATAAAAGATCATCTGAAGGTTCCTTTTCAACAATATCAAAAAGAACGGAATAATCGTCGTTTATTTTAACCAAAGACTGCATATCATTCACATAATATTAAAACCCAAGATAGATCATTAGGAAACACGACGAGTAACATTTCCTTGAGAGGAAAAGGGTACCAGATACGACCACAAATTGTTAACTGTCAGACATACATAAATATATGACCTTAACCACTGTAAAATATCAGTTATATCTTCTAATTTCATCAACAGAACTGAATGGTCTAATGTACCAAAGTCTGTTGAAGATCCATTACATAAAACCATAAAGATGACCTTCATCCATATTTTATCTTGTAAAATCTAAAAGACGTATAAGACAAGTGTCTGTGAAAAAAACCTCTATAATATATAAACACAGAATGAAACCTATATAATATTTTGCTCGCCTAAATGGTCTCTTTCCGGTGGCGATGGTAAACAAACCTAAACACGCACGCGCACACACACGCACACACACGCACGCACGCACCAACGCACGCACGCGCGCGCACACACACACACACACATACAAATATTTCTTTTCCTTTTTAATGGGAGCCTTTTTAATGGGAGCAATTTTTGTCATAAACA